TGGTTGTGCACCTGGATGAGAGCTACAGGAAGGAGCTCTCTCGGATATGAAAGCTCAGAATGTAAATGACCTGCCAGGGAGCTGTTTTGACCTGAAACTGGGGCCTAATGTCAGTCTCTAGCAAGACTCAATTAATGAAAGACTTTTTTTTGTTTTTTGAGACAGAGTCTCGCTGTGTTGCCCAGGCTGGAATGCAGTGGTGTGATCTTGGCTCACTGCAACCTCCACCTCCCAGGTTCAAGCAATTCTCTGCATCAGCCTCCTGAGTAGCTAGGATTACAGGCACCAGCCACCATGCCCGGCTAGTTTTTGTATTTTTAGTAGAGACAAGGTTTCACCATCTTGGCCAGGCTGGTCTTGAACTCCTGATCTCGTGATCCACCTGCCTCAGCCTCCCAAGGTACTGGGAATACAGGCCTGGGCCATCGTGCTGGGCAATAAAAGGCATTTTTTAAACTATGGGGAGGGGAGGGGGGTGGTAGAGAACCCAAGGGAAAGGTAGCTAACATAAGGGAAACTACTTTTCCTAAAAGACATTTCATATAAAGCAAACAAAAAATAAAACTAAAAAACAAAAGAGAAAGAAAGAAAGGAAGGAAGGAAGAAAGAAAGAAAAAAAAGCAAGGACTGCCAAGACTGCCTCTTTCTTATTCTTCCAAAAGCTCCAGCTCCTGGATTGTGGATTCTAACCAAGGTAGGTGGGACAAAGTTTGTACTACAAGGGGATGAAGCCAATACCAGGACCCAGAGGGAAGGGAAGCATCGTCAGAGTCCAGTGGCGAGAGGAATTCTGTGCTTGTTTAAATGAGGTTGTCCTTGTGGGTGTGGCGTTTCCCTTTTCAACTTATGTAGACAATCAGTGGCATTACCCAAAAGTGGCAACACATTGAGGACAGCACAGTTACAAGTGGGCATGAGTTTTTATTCTCAGTGCACAGCAGTATTGGTTTCTGTTCATCAGCAAAAAGCTTTATTGGTTTCAAATTTATCCCTTTTAAAACTCTTCTTCTTCTGGTCTCAGTGGAACAACACATTTGAATTTCAGATTTGCCAGTTTATAGCATTTTTTTCCCCTAAGAACCATATAAATACATGCAAAACATTGTACATAGAGCTTAAATAATATCAAAATGCAAATATAGATTGGGTGCGCTGTTAAGCTGAGTTGCGAATTATGGCAACACACACTGGGGTATACATTCGTTTGATATTACCCTTTGTTTGTTTATGTCATGCAGACCACAATAGTCAATCTTTTGTTTTGTTTTTCTTTTTTGTACAAAAATACCAGTGCTTGTTATACTAATTACTAAAAGAAGAAGAAGAAACTCAAACATTCCTATCTGCGTGCTAATTTGAAAGAACAACGTAGATAGATTTGTTGGCACATATATATGGCATATTCACATATGGCATATATACACATGGGGAGAAAACGTGAACCAAAGGCCAATTCAGTTATGGGAGCTCATCTCCTTCCATCTCTCCTAATCAAGAGCGAAGGGAACAGCAGGCCTAACAGCAGGATTGGGAAGGCAAAAGGACTGGCACTGAGCTAAATCAAAGGGCGTCTGGTCTATTCGGAGGGAGAGGCTGGAATGGCTTAACAATAGCAGGCATCTGTAAGTGCCCACCCTCACCAACGCAGCAGGGTGGTCCCTAGATATGAAAGGTAAGGAAGGGAATTCCATATTGTGATGGTACCACAGGCTGCTTCAATTGTAAGGCAAAGGAAGCAGGAAAGAAAGGAAGGGATGCATTTAGAGTTTTTTTGGCACAAACGAGTGTGCCACGCCCCTCTGGGTTTTCACCAGTGAGGTAACCACTCAGATTTAACTGTGCCAATTCTCCTATCTGAAGCTCAAGGGGAAGAAGAAACTCAAACCCTAAAGAACCCACAAGTATCTAGAGGGATTTTTAGGTGATCTCTCTCTTAACCCCTTTAGGGATAGGAGAGTCACCCTAGAGGACAGATGGTACTATGGGAAGGACCTAGCCCCAAGACTGTCACTCAGGGCAAGGACCAGCCATTGTTTTATCCATTTAGAATTCTGTCCCCATTTAATATATTGCACAAAATCTTTCTAGGGGAGGAAAGGCATCAATAAGAACCTTGTGCAAAAACTCACTAATGGAAAACTCCAGGGGGAATAGGAAATACAAACCATGAAAAGCACAAACCCCAAATCAGAATATCCTTACAGACCAGGAGATATTAATGTCTTTGGTACCTCTCTGCCAGCTATTCTTCAAGAAACACAATTCCAACCGAGGCCCCTGATCCTAATCACTAGTTAGGAAAGAGTCTGGCTGTCCATCTGTATGGCAGCGTGGGGGGATTCATTTCCTGACAGCTGTATTCCTTGCTGGGTATTTTCCTGACTATCCACAGTTTACTACCCGTTTTTCTAGGTTTATTAAGAGAGGAAGCTAGGATGATGTGTTCTCCTTCTCCCCATCAGACCCTCTTCAAATCCAAAGCACCATTTTGGGGAAAAGTGTTATTAACTTATGCCAAATTTACCCACTGCCAGTTGGATCAGTGAAACTGAATAGAAAAAAAACTTCTATAAAAAACATATGCACATAGACACTTAAACTTAATTCCATATCAACAAAATTTATATTAAAAAAGTCTAGAACCCAACAATTTTTTTCCCCTAAGTATAAAGATGGCTGTTTGGAGAAAGTTAGTGTGGTGTATTGGTTTGAAACCAATCACAAATATACTAAGTCACCTGTCATGTCAAACAGCTGGTTATGTGCTCCCTTCCACAGGGCTACATGACGGCACTTTATTTTAAATTGTTTAAACAAAATACATATGGCTGACTCAAAAATATCAGTTTCTGATCTAAATAAAACTATATTTTTTGCATATATTTCTGTATTTTCTCTCCTACTATGGAAACTAGAACACAAGAAAAAAAACCGTTGACTTTTACAAAGTAGACACAAGCCCTCAAGAGTAACCCGTCAGGCACCATGAGAGTCTTTTGCGAACAGGAATGGTAAAATAGCCTTCAAAGCTTGTTATTGGCTTGCTATTTAAAATGATCTGAGGTAATACAAGACTTGATAGAATTAAATCTTCTAAAGTAGTTGATGAATATGTATGTCAACACTTAACCACCTTGGGTGAGCTGTTTTTTGCCCCATGAGTATTTAAGACACAAAAAAGAATTACTGAAGCATGTACATTTCACAAAACAAAAATCAAATTTGCTTTCCTGTTTCCTACAATGATGGATTATGGAGTCATGGGGATGTGTAGGGGACATTGTGTCTTTACGTTTCCTACTGTGGACAGCTCAGGCGAAAGGGGTGAGGGAGGGCAGATCCGGAAGAAAAGGCCAGGTGGATCAGGTCACCTTCCTCTCACATGGGAATTTGGCAGTTCATACGCCTCCTCTACTTGACTCTCATCGCTCTAGAGACGGGGGGGTGGGCTTCACTGTCTAATGGGAGGTGAGAGTCGGAGACATGAACTGACGCCTGCACAGAAGTCAACATCAGCAGGGATACCAATGGAGCTCCTGCGAATGTGGCTCCACCTTGCCCCAGTAAGGAACACTTAAAAAATCTCCTAGCAAATTCCCCAACTCCTGAGAGGCAGATGGGAAGGGGATGCTTTGGGCAGTGTTCAGGGAATAAAGGCACAGGGCTTTACTGGGCAGCAGCTGGAGCACGTGGCAGAAGGGGGGTTGGAGGAAGGGCAGATATGCAGGGGCGTCTTTTGCTCCATTAAGTGGGCAAAATGTCACAGGGGCCTCCCACTTTGGATACATATTTTTCAAAATCAGAATATTTGAGAAAGGCTGGGACCTTCTCAGAGACTGGAAAAGTTGTGACATGTGGCAAAAAGTAGAATTAGAAACTAACTGGAGAGAATGTCAAAGCTGGTCCCCAGGCACCTAAGCTCAAGGTTTCTGGCCCCTGCAGGAAGGTTTTCTCAGATTACTCTAGATTGGCTCTTTGGCCTCTCCCAAGGCTTCTCAACACTCATTCCCCACCAGTCAGGTCTCACCCTGGAAAGCCTTGGCAGATGGTTTTGAAAGCAGTGGTCACCCCAAAGAGGAGCCCACAAAAGTCTGCTCTGATGGTCTGTCTTGCCCCAGATTTGCCAGCATCTGGTCCTCAATATGCAAGTCCAGTAAGGAGGCGGGGTCATACCCAGTTCATTCTTTTGCCACCACTTTAGGAATAAGAGAAAGCTCAGGCCTATGGTAAAACCTATATACCACATATATGCAACCTTCATGGGCAAGGCTGATCTCCCTGGCACTTAAGAACCACATACACCTGACAAGATGGCAGGTTAAAAGCAGAAGGTAACCTGGCAACAACAGGGAAATATTCTTTTTATTTAAAAAATACTTTTTTTTTTTTTAATAAAATGAGACAGAGTCTTGCTCCATCACCAGGTGCCAGGCTAGAGTGCAGTGGCACGATCTTGGCTCACTGCAGCCTCCGCCTCTTGGGTTCAGGCAATTCTCCTGCCTCAGCCTCCCGAGTAGCTAGGACTACAGGCGTGCGCCACCACGCCCAGCTAATTTTTGTATTTTTAGTAGAGACGGGGTTTCACCATGTTGGCCAGGATGGTCTCCATCTCTTGACCTCGTGATCCACCCGCCTCGGCCTCCCAAAGTGCTGGGATTACAGGCGTGAGCCACCGCGCCCGGCCCAACAACAGGGAAATATTCTTACCAGCGCTTAATTGCTTCAAAAGGACCCTTTTAACAAAGAAACTGGTTGGATTCTAGAACAAAGTCAAGGGTTGTTTTGGGCAAAAGGGAAAAGGGTCAAAGTTTACTCAATTCACACATATCCTTTCCATTTTCCTAATCACTATAACAAAAAAAAAAAAAAAAAAAAGGAAGGAAAGGGAAGACAAAAGAGCAAAAGAAACTTGGAGAAGTTTGACTGGAAGGGCAGAAAGAGTTAGAGGCTTCTAGGCCTGTAGGTGTAAGTTTTCAAAATGGGAAAAATTGAAAAACAAGCACACTACTGGCTGATTTTATATATTCCATCTCTGTCTCAATGTAGTCCACTTGGGGATATTTGTCTCCCTCTGAACCCTTAACTTAGCTTATAAATGGCACAGACTTAAAGGACAAAATCCAGAATTCAGGAGATGAACATCAGGGGAGAAGGTGGGTGGGTGATGTCAAGAGGATTGTCATCATTTCTTTACAAATGACAACTGACTACCAAGGAGCAGATTCTACCATTACCTGCCTGGGGTTTGACTGGGTCCTGCTACAAACCCCAAGTCAAGCTTAAGTTGAAATCCTTGTAGGTCTGTGCTCTTGCCTCTTCACGGTCAGGTGGGGGTTCACACATACTGCTGTTAACACAGCAGGTGACATGACAATGAAAAGTCCCATCATCACCTTATAGATGGGACAGACGAAAAAGAAAATAGGGAAAATAGGAATGAGAGTCAGAGAAAGGAAATTCACACTGATGTCTCTAGGCTCTGTAGAGGGCTGTCTGCGTGGGAGATCTGCGCTTGGTTGCAATCCACCGCGTTGTTGTTTGTGTTGGCATATGGAGTGACCTCACCATCCAACAGGAGCACCCTAGTCCCAAAGTTAGAAGCCTTGTCAGGATTTTCTTCCTCTTCCTCATCCAGGAGTGGTGTTCGTGGCAACTCCTCATCTATGGCAAATTCAGGGTGGGTCATGAAGTTGTGGATGGAGTTTTGGCTGTAGGGTTTCTGAATGCTTTCGTGGAGAGAACTATGGAACGCTTTGACCACTTTGATCTACACCAGGGAAAGGAAAAGGAGAATGAGAAAACAGGGAGGTGAGAATTGGCCGGCAGAACAAGGAGATGGTGGCTTTAGGACAGAAACAAAACCCAAACTATAAAACATGACTGCTCAACAACCAAAACTAAACAGTCAGAGGAGATCATGGGGCACCAGAAACATCACATGGCTCAACTTTCAAGCAGTGGGGTGGCTGGGGTGAGTGATGGCAAACAACTAGGATGTTTTGAAAGCTGCATTAAAAAAAGTAGAAAATCCAAAGCAAGGTTAGCATTCCCAAACAATCTACTTTTAAAACGAAACAGAAGACAAGAAGTTTCATTAGTTCTTTTAGATGGAGGGCAAGGACATGGGAACTAGATGCAAATTAACAGCCAAACTTAAAAAACGATTCAGACATGTGGATTTCTGTGTTGAGGCCAAACATTTTGTGAATGTGGAATGGAAAAATTATGCATTGAGGTTTAGTTATCTGTTTAAAAACCTCAAAGAGCCAGCATACAACAATGTGCACATAATACACGTTTGGTGACACGTGACCATGAATAACTTTGCAGCCAGGCAGACAAACCGATCTTCATTTGTGTCAGCAGCATGCAGAAAATTAACACTCTTCAATTTAATAATTTGCCCATTCAGCCAGGAAACATGCCTATTTTTACATCCCACAACCACCACTGTGTCCCCTCCCCGCAAATAACACAGAACTTCACTCCTTCAGCCGAAGTGGATAAAATACAGGCGTCAAAAGATGACTTCCTCCTGCCTATTGAGAAAAGACCTGGCTCTCAATGCATGTTTATGTCTCTCATGCACAGCAACTGTGCCCAATCATGCTGCTTTCTCCAGCTGTTTCCAAATTGTGAAGAGGAGCATGGTCTTATGTGGAGAAGGAAATGAAAGGGACCAGGGAGAGAAACCTAATCCAGGAGGCAGTGATACAAACAAGTGGCATTTCTGATAGGGTGGATGAAGAGGATGAAGGAAAGGAAACCACGTGCCATTTTACTGGGCAAAGGGAAATGCATTGCCCAATGTCAAAGTCTCTGCCCTACTGCACAAAAAGGAAGGGATTTGGTCAGTTCAGAGTCGTGAAGAAGAAAATCGACATAATTGATTCTTGTGAACAGCTTTTGCTTGTCTGCAGGCACCAACAATTTGGCAGATCTGCTTTCTGAACTGTAGGTCTCTCTGAGTTGTGGCTTAGAATCGGGGTTGTTAGGATTGGGATAGAGGGAGAGGTCTGGAACTCTGAGAGGTTGGAGAGAGGGGCCAGGGGAAAGGTAAATTGTTGCAGGACAGTTTTAGTTGTTGGAAGGTGGCTGATCCTAGTCTTGTCCAAAAAATCTTCCCACAGAAAAGAAATGGGAGTAATGCAGGGGAAACTGTTGAGGTTAGAGGGGTAGGAGTGATGAAGGTGGGGGTAGGGTACCTGTTTCATTCCTCTGCCGTTTAAGCAAAAAGTATATTCCAGGAGAAGACACAAGAGCTTGGACACAGCAGAGCATACAATGAGTCAGCCAAATAAACGGGTTGGATCGCTGTTCCAGTGCTTCCTACCACCATACAGAACCTTCATAAATGCTACTCAAAGCAGGCTCACTATCAATACTGTTGGTCCCTCTTCTCTGGAGGAGAATGTGTCTCTATTGGCTAAGGCTTTCCTTATCTTGCCCCACTCTGCTACAGCCTGCAGACCCACCCAGGTCTGAGGGTGCTCAAAGCTCAGTAGGCAAAGGATTCCTTGCCAGTCAATAGTATCCGCTCAACCCCTCAGCTAAGAAGAATCAGGAGGGCCGGGCGTGGTGGCTCACGCCTGTAATCCAAGCACTTTGGAGGCCAAGGCGGGCGGATCACCTGAGGTTGGGAGTTCAAGACCAGGCTGACCAACATGGTGAAACCCCATCTTTAAAAAAAATAATAATAATAAAAAAGAAGAATCAGGAAGCATAGGCACACACTCACCATGCTGAACAGATAGTGAGGAACACATTTTTCTTATCTGATTCCTATTTGACCATCTGATGTGTGAATTTTACCTGTCATGTTGCCTTTGCTCCAGATCTAGGTGAGATCAGATGGAATGGAAGCTCCATCTGGTCTTCAGGAAGTCTCAAGTTTTCACTGATCTACATAAAATCTCAGAGCAAGGCAATTTGGATTAAGTGAGTCCAAACCCAGTGCCTTCTCCCTTGGCCCTGGTACAGATACAATGGCCAAGGTTTGAGTCCAAAGTCATCCCACTCCATCAAGGTCATCACTGTCAGGAGTGATAACATAGCCCACATTTTTCATGTGCTCTCAAGATCTAAACTGAATATTACAGGAGGGTAGGTGCCTTTAGCCACCAGTATATCATCTTCAATATCAGTGATTTTCAACTTCCTGCTTCAATTTTTTTTTTTTTTTTGAGACGGAGTTTCACTCATGTTACCCAGGCTGGAGTGCAATGGCGCGATCTCGGCTCACCGCAACCTCCGCCTCCTGGGTTCAGGCAATTCTCCTGCCTCAGCCTCCTGAGTAGCTGGGATTATAGGCACGCACCACCATGCCCAGCTAATGTTTAGTATTTTTAGTAGAGACGGGGTTTCACCATGTTGACCAGGATGGTCTCGATCTCTTGACCTCGTGATCCACCCGCCTCGGCCTCCCAAAGTGCTGGGATTACAGGTTTGAGCCACCGCGCCCGGCCCCTGCTTCCATTTAATTGAATACTTTATTGAAACAATTACATGTGAAGTCCACTTATAGAAAATAAATTTTTAACAATTGGGGTTGGAGTGCGGGTCTGGAGCCCTGTTTGTTGGCTTTTCCTCTCACCTGTTGGGGTAAACAATGAGGGAGATAAAAGTGAATTGGGGATGGGTAGATAGAAAAAATATGGGAAACATCTTTTAGGGATTAAGAAACAGTCATCCAGCTAGACTGCAGGACTTCTGGAATCTAAAGGGAAACCAGCCACCTGTAAGGGAAGCTCACGTGAAGAGGGGTCAGAGAGCTAGGGAGCACCAGCTGGCTTGGTGGGTGGAAAGAGGGAGAGAAGGGTAAGGGAGGAGAGGGCATGGGGCTGTGCCAGGATGCCTCAACTCCAGCACTGGCCTCAGAGAACACATGCTGATGAATAACCACACACTATTTCACCACCAATCCACCCAGGGCTGGCCTCTTCCCTTCCTGGAGCATGAGGCCTCGTGGATGAGCAGTCAGGGCTAGTGAAGCAGGTGCAGGGAAAGTTTTGTGCACTCACCACACAGCCAGTTAACCCTTCCCTCCCTGGTCATCATTTCTCAAAACCTTGGGGAAATGTCTCTTCTGGGGCCCTGGCCTACAGGTGGAAGTGGCTGGTTGAAGGACAACTCTTTTCGTGACTCAGTAGACTGGGTATGAGTGCTAAGGGCTACTCTCTGCAGCTCAACGAGTGGGCAGGTGAAGACTCCATTTCCTCAGCCAGAATATTCTGTTTTCTGCTCTTTTCAGAAACCAGGAGAAGAAGATTAGGGCCTCCCTATGCAGGGAAATCTTAGAGATCTATCTAATGAAGGTAGGACAAACAGTTGAATTTATTTGGAGCTCTGGAATGGGAAAGAGGGTTTTAAAAGGTATGGCTACAACTTCTAGGAGCTCCAACTAAAAAGGTACAGCTGGAGAAAGAGCAGGTGTGGCCTGTCTCTCCTCTGATCTTCTAGCCTTTGAGGGTTTGGAGCATACCCTCTACCAGGTCCTCTACAAGATCCCAATGGGCTCAGTCTTCTGTTTAGTCTCTCCTTCCACCATCAAACCATCAGGACATCTGCAACTAATATTTCCTACCAGAAAGGGATAATTAAAACAGAACAGAAGCGAGTTAGAAGGGGATGACAGAACTTTAAGGAAAAAAGGAATTAAGTATGAAAGGACTGGTGTGAGAGGTTCCTGGATGTTTGCAGGGCAAGGCTTACTTAGTTCGTTCTTGCCTGTTTTTTGACCTAAAGAAATCGTATGCATCTCTATCAAGCCCCACCCCCGTTCCTCACATCAGAACAGTTCGGCTAAAAAGACAAAACAAATCTAAGTCTGGTCAACCCACACAGTCCACGATCATGTGAACCACAGACAAGGCCACTGTTCTTTCTTCAGCCCCTTCCCAGAGATGGGGGATGAGGCTGGGAATGGGGAGGAAGGAACAGACTGAACACTCAGATTTTGAAACCCACATTATATTCAACACAGATAAGCTTCTTCCCACATTATCAGCAGAGAACTAGCTACTTTTTCTCTCCTCCGTGAGTCCCGTTTGGGGACGGGAAAATAAGCAGGAATAGGAGGGCATAAGCATTAGCAAGAATCCAAGAATCTACCAATGGGAACACCAGATCTTAGGTTGTGGACTGATAACATTGCAATTGAAAGTCTTGCTGAGAAAGGGGTTCCTAAAACTTTATATGCAAAATAAGAGCTTGCTGTTGGCGAAACAATCAAACTAGAGGAAAGGAGAGGCAGAATAAAAGGGATCCTCTTCAGAAACTCCCCAAAAAAGTTTAGTAAATGAAGAAAAAAACATTATGTTGACTCTTTTGTATATTTCTCCTACCTTGATATCAATTAATCAATTTTTAAAAATTTTTTAATTTATTTTAAGAGATGGGGTCTCGCTATGTTGCCCAGGCTGGAGTGCAGTAGCTATTCACAGGCATGATCCCACTACTGATCAGCATGGGAGTTTTGACCTGCTCCGTTTCCGACCTTGGCTGGTTCACCCCTCCTTAGGCAAACTGGTGGTCCCCCGCTCCCGGGAGGCTACCATATTGATGCCGAACTTAGTGTGGACACCTGATTGGCATAGCGCACTACAGCCCAGAACTCCTGGGCTCAAGCGATCCTTCCAACTCAGCCTCCTCAGTAGCTGGGACTACAGGCACGGGCCACCACGCCCGGTGAATTAATTGATTTTTAAACCAGAGTCCCTGGAAAGCAAAATAATGTGGATGTTCAACCATATACATTTGAACTGAACTACCTTCTTTTCTTCACCTATAGCTACAACTTGGTATGCTAAAATTGCCAGTTAACAATACAGTGGTAGCCAAATGGACTATTATTTTGGCCAAGTTTCATATTGGCTCAATTATGACAGGTCCATTAGTCAAAACACACCCATAGGCATATTAGCTGCCTTCCTACCTTTCTTCAAAAGGTCCCAAACTTTGCCCCCACGTAAAGAAAGTGTCTGGGTTTTCATTAGGCCTATCCTCACATCTAAGCTTAGGAGGTAGAGTTCGGACTCAAAGGAGAAGGAGGAGAGGAGAGGAGCAACAACATATTCCAGCAAAGCAACAAACAGACAAAAAGGCAAAGCAAAATAAAACAAAACTCAAGGAAGAAACAAGCAATGCAGAGGAACAATCAGAAAACAGAATTATTGTCTTTAAAGAGTTAAGGTTTAATAGATTTTCTACATTAAAAAAATAAAATACAAGGGCATACAGGCTGGTTTTGGAGTGGGATTTTTGTCTTTTCTTCCCTTAAGCCAAAAGATCAAAGGGAAAAACCAAAAGGAAAAGATAACCACGGTTGGTTAAAGTGGATGCCACGTGCTCTCTTGTGGTCATTTTAGCAAATCATGCATCATAATAGACTATCACTCACTGCCCATAGGAGGAGATGAAACAGCAGGAACAGAAGTGGTGGGGGATTTGACTGGTTCAACTGCTACATAGGATGAACTAGGAACAAGTTTTACATCAAGGTGTTGACCCATGTTCTGTCGCCTTAGGACTCCCTTAAAAGAGGCTCCCGTCTGGAATGTGTTAATTACGTCGATCTGCAAAGAATCAGAGAGTGAGACAGCTTTGCTCCACAGTCAGAGAGAGGTGAAGAAAGAGGAAGGGAGGGTCATGGAAGGCTGGGGAAGCAGGGATGGAAGCAGATGGGAAAAGGGAACAGGAGACAGCAAGAGAGAGCTTCCCTCCCGCACAGCAATGGTGAGAAGGGGAAAAACGTTACTGCATATCACACTTCAATTAGGGAACAATTTGCCGTGGAGTCCCAAGCCCATCCATAATCTAGCTTTCTCTTCCCTTTGAATTCACAGTGGGCATCTGAGGTGTACAGGGGGCCAAGACTATTTAAAATTTAAAGGGACTTTTCCCTCTCCATCACTCCTTACAAGCTAGACAGACATTGGCAGCTTATTAGTTGTTTTTACCTGTATTGTTAAAAATAAGGCAAACAACTTAAAGATTCTGAAGGCAAATTACATATTACTGAAAAGTCTCAGGAACCTCTAAATCAATTAAACTGACTACCTACTTTTTTGCAGATTTTCCAGGAAAATAACTCATGTGTTTAAAGAAAAGACAGGGGCTGTGTAGTAGCCAATATACAGGTAGCCATGATGGAAGGGCGCCTGGGCCAAGTGTTGCTGGGCTCATCCTCCTCTGGGTATCTTCCCTGGGTATCAATTCCTTCCCTGGGCTGAAGTAGACAGGGTCCCTAAGAATGGAGCTCAAGAACCCAGTGGCCAAGCCCATTATAGAGAATGCTGCTAAATGCATTAGTGCATTAGAGATTCTGAAATGTCTGGCGGAAATGCTGACAGTAGCTCAGCAATTAGACTGAGGGAGGGAAAGGAAGAGGTTTTTGTTGGTGGTGGCTTACACAAGTAGTCTCTGGTTTTCAGTGCTCTGTTCCACAGAGACAGAGGCAATTAACGCCGTTGATTTTCTTTTCTTTCTTTCTTTTTTTTTTTTTTTTTTTTTTGAAGGAGTCCCGATCTATCACCCAGGCTGGAGTGCAGTGGCTCGATCTCGGCTCACTGCAACCTCCACCTGCCGGGCTGAAGCAATTCTGCCTCGGCCTTCTGAGTAGCTGGGGCTACAGGTGCGTGACAGCATACCCAGCTAGTTTTTGTATTGTTAGTAGAGATGGGGTTTCACCATGCTGGCCAGGGTGGTCTCGAACTTCTGACCTCATGATCCGCTCACCTCGGCCTCCCAAAGTGCTGGGATTACAGGCGTCAGCCACCACACCTGGCCATGCCATTCATTTTCCGACAATGGTCCTGATCTAGGGCCTCAATCAACTCTACCATCCTTATCCCTGACCCCTAAATAACAAGGACAAAATCAAAAGAAATTCCTTTTAGCCTTCATGAATCTGGTAGAATAATTTTAGAAATATCTATCTGCTTAATGCCAAGGGTTGATCTACTAGGAATGTAGGAAAGGTGCTGATTTTATTAACTGGACTTCCTTTTCCCGGGAGGGAAGATGGGAAAGCAGGCAGAATGTGAGTGAGACATTTCTTTTATAAAGCTTCCTGAGAAGCCATGAGCTGTTTAGGGCTAGTTTCTGGATCCAGATCACAGTTTGAGCTGCAACACCACCCCTTCCTCACATTATTCAGTTTCAGTTCTCCAGGACTGAGGAGTCTGAACCCGCAGGAGGAGAGGGCTTACACTTGGGGTGGGTGGGGGGGTTCCATCTCCATGGACAGAGGGACTGTGGAGACACCTTCTTCAGTGCGTATTGGAGTTACAAGGTTCCAACCTCCACAATTCTAGTCTAAGTTTCCTAAACTTCGTCTTTCTGATGCTCTCAGCTCCCCAAAAACCAAAGGGAAAAGGAGACTAGAAGAACAACCCAGAACAAGGAAAAGGGGAAATCCCAATCAGGACTAGAAAACAGCTGGGCAACACCTCCCACACCCAAGCACTGTGATAAGAATGACAGCAAAGATCAACTTGGAGATGGCAGGGGGCGAACCCAGCTGAGGCTGAAGGACTGATGCTGGGAGCGGATCTCAGGGATCCAGGATGCACATTAGCATTATCAGCCTCATCAGATTCCGGAGTCAGGGGCATCGTGGGATGCCGTGAATTTGGTTATTGCAGCATCTTGAACATGCCTCACTGTAGGTTTTAATGCCATCTGGCCCAACTGCCTCATGTTCCAACAATGGGGAAAGGTAGTATATCTAAAGCTATGTAGGCAGTGAAACCAAATAAACCTTATAGAGAGGTACACTGTCAAGGGAATGGAAATTGGTCATGAAGGGGAAGGAAGACCCATGCATCTTAGCCTCCTAGGACAGAAGACTGGAAAGGCGCAAGAAGGCACTGGACTGAGGACATCTTGGCTAGGAGAAAAGAAATCATGTAGTAGAAGAGGCAGTTGATCCTGAAGCAAAGCAAAGAAAAGACAGGTTATTTTGGAAAGAGCAGACCCAAAGGAAAACACTGGGGGCTTTAGAGATGGGAGCCAAAGGCGCCAGGTTTTGTGGGTAATTGGATTCAGCAGCCTAGAGGGTGGGGTGGGTAGGGAGTGGGCATGAGGACTCTGGATGCCACGAGGCACTTTGCTCAGGTCCTTCTGGAATTTTTCTTTCTGGGAGGAACTCAAGAGAGGAAAAAGGAACCCGAGTGTTTCCCTACCTAGCCCTTCTTTTCCACTTTTCTGTTTTTTGTGTTTTTTAAATTTTTTAATTTTTTAATTTTTTTGCTTGTTTCTGAGACAGAGTCTCACTATGTAGCCCAGCCTGTAGTGCAATGGCTCGATCTTAGCTCACTGCAGCCTCCACCTGCTGGGTTCAAACGATTCTCCTGCCTCAGGCTCCCGAGTAGCTGGGATTACAGGTGCACACCACCATGCCCAACTAATTTTTGTATGTTTAGTATAGATGGAGTTTCACCATGTTGGCCAGGCTGGTCTCAAACTCCTGACCTCGTGACCCACCTGCCTCAGTCTCCCAGAGTGCTGGGATTACAGGTGTGAGCCACTGTGCCCATCTTCTTTTCCAGTTTTCTATCTGTTGTCATGCCCGTAGGAGGTAAGTTCCTCCCAGGTATGTAGTTTAGAATATTCACTTCATTTATCTCTCCAATACACTAAGGAGGTGGGGCTGACTGGTGGGGCTGAACTTTTTCTGTTTTTCAGATGGAGTTTCACTCTTGTTGCCCAGGCTGGAGTGCAATGGCGTGATCTCGGCTCACCGCAACCTCTGCCTCCCAGGTTCAAGCGATTCTCCTGCCTCAGCTTCCTGAGTAGCTGGGATTATAGGCATGCGCAACCACGCCCGGCTAATTTTGTATTTTTTTTAGGTAGAGATGGGGTTTCTCCATGTTGGTGAGGCTGGTCTCAAACTCCTGACCTCAGGTGATCGGCCCGCCTTGGCCTCCCAAAGTGCTGGGATTATAGGCATGAGCCACTGCGCCTGGCCGACTGGGCAACCTTCTAAAACATTTGCAAGGCCAGTTTTAGACAATGAAACTTATTTTGAAGATCTCCAGCCAATCAGCAGAGAGAAATACACCTCTTCTCTGGAGACCACCCTTGAGATCTTGGAATTTACAGTTTTTTGAGATAGAAAATCTTAGGATGAAAGCAATAAAGGCAAGTGGGGTGAGAGCAAGGGAAGACAGAATTATCAATGCCTAGACCAGCCCATTTACCCAGGAGAAGGTAGTTACAATTGATGCATGGAAAGTGGAAAAAAAAAGTCATTGTGGGGCTATAGGCAGGGGACTTGAGAGCAGCAGGGCGGCTTCTATCCCATTTCAGAAATTGCAAGAAGGGAAGAGACTTGAAGAAATTATTGCTTCCTCCTTGTCAGGAAGCAAGTCTGAATCCTGAAAAAGATGCTCAGACATCAAGAGACTATTGTCATTTTTATACATGAAACCATCAGATTCCCCACTATGGCCTTACACTTTGAGTGGGGGAGATATAACAAGGTGACCTTCTTTTACAAAGACCCCTCCGGATGGTATCTATTCCCATAATGGCAGTGTAAGGAGGTTACATTAAGTGAATGCTGGGGATGTCAGCATAGAGATACTAACTCCTTTCTTCTGAAGGGTAGGGAAACACTGCACATTTCTCACCCTGGGGTCAGGTCTAGTGCTTGCAAGAAACCTTATGCTGAAGCTTGCCCATTTGACAGAGGGTAGCGGGGAGGGCTTAGAGTCAGCCCAGAGCTAAAGGACTATGCTAATAGTGTCCCATGGTCTAGGTCATTTGATTCCTCTGCTCTCAAAGGACCCCACACAGATCTCTTTGTCCATTTGTCCTGAAGCTGGGGAGCTAGGGCTGCCCATTAGTAGTGAGCCTTTGGAAGGGAAGAGATGCTGGCCACCTCCCACCACCTTCCAAGATGGGAAGCTTCTTCCCCCAAGGGAAGGACAGACCACTATCAGAGTACCTGAGTCTGGATACGGTTCAGGCCCCGGAACCAGAGGATCTGGCCTCGGCGCAGCTCCATCTCGGCATGGTCAATCTCATCCAGCCCCTCGGCATCCTTGGTGATCTCCTCTTTGGTGGTGCCATGCCCAGCCTCCTTCAGGAACTTCAGGGATCGGGTAGGTATTGCAGAGATGATCTGAAAACAAGTGCAGTGAAGAGGGAGACACCAGAATCACAGTGAGAACTGCTGTCAGTCAACCTTCAAGGGCCAGGCCCTTGGGCAGGTTATACCCTTCCCACTGGAAGAGCAGTGGACAGAAGCACCAATCGATCCAGGCAAGCATTCTCCAGGTGCCCACAAGCGGTCAGGCTCGTAGGAAGGTTTTCTGTATTTATGGACACACAAAAAACAGACCTTATATTCTAGTAATCAACCAGCCATCTGCCTGGTCATATACTCCATTTTCCTCTTTTTGTCTCACTGCTTCTTTTCCATTTTGTGATCTGTCTTTTAAGGTTAACAGAACCATACTGCATGGTACACAATAGGAAGGCACAGAGACCAGGACCTGGGGGAAAACAGTCTGGGGAGAAGATGATCATACTGCATATGTATGGGCAAGGGGTTGAGAAGGGTATTGGAAATGAATGAACCCTTTCTTAGTTGCCACATGCAATATAGTTTCTGTGTTACAAACTCTCGTGAAAGGATACCAAAAGTTTTCTTGGGCTTGAGGTGAGGAAGTGGATGGGGCAGGCCATAGAAGAAGGGACACATGAGTATTATCAGAAGACAAGGAGCAACACGTTGGGCTTGAAATTCAAAGTAAATCTCCTGGTGAGCTCAGCAGCTGTCAGTCAGTTCTTTCCAGACAAGATGAGAAGCAGCCAGGGCTCACATGGGGAAGAGGGACTGTATGGGCAGTCTGATATGGAGCCACGTGTTTTGAAACGAGAACAATGCCAAAGCTCTGACTCTGAATGTGGGAAAGAGCTGCTGTGATACAGAAGGAAGGCTGTTGTCTGGCATCAAGGCCACATGGCCACATGTGAGGCAAGGGCCAGAAGAGTTTCAAACAACAGGTGACACAACCAAGCTTTACCAAAGCATAAAACTGCTTTAGGCACCCACTGGTAAAAACACTTCAGCAAATAGAACAGGTTGGAGGGAATTTGATAGACATTAATTAGGGAGGGCTGAGTGCAGTGGCTCATACCTGTGATCCCAGCACTTTGGAAGGCTGAGGTAGGAGGACTGCTTGAACCTAGGAGTTCAAGATCAGCCTGCATGACATAGTGAGACCACCCATCTTTTTTTTCTTTTTTTTTTTTTTGAGACAAAATTCTCGCTCTTGTCACCCAGGCTGGAGTGCAGTGGTGCGATCTCGGTTCGCTGCAACCTCTGCCTACCAGGTTTAAGCAATTCTCCTGCCTCAGCCTCCCAAGGAGCTGGGATTACAGGCACGTGCCACCATACCTGGTTAATTTTTTTTGTATTTTTAGTAGAGATGGGGTTTCACCATGTTAGACAGGCTGGTCTCAAACTCCTGACGTCAGGTGACCTGCCTGCCTTGGCCTCCCAAAGTGCTGGGATTACAGGTGTGAGTCACTGCACCTGGCCCGAGACCCCCATCTCTCAAAGAAAAAAAAACGAAGAAAAATAAATTAATGAGGGAGGCATCTAGGTGTGAAATAAATAACTAGTAGGTTTAGGGGAGAAGGCCAGGAGCTCCAGAAAGGGCTCTTCGAGGGCATTTAGGGCAAAGTGTCCATTACCTGGGTGGCTGTGCACTAAGGGATTATCTGCAGAGACCTGGGGTCTGTAAAGAGAGGTATAGCCAAGGCCAGAGCTGAGGATGAGGGAGGTTTGTAACATGGTATTAAGGAAAAAGTGAGACTATTAGACTCGATGATACTATCATAACATATTTTCTTTTGAGACGGAGTTTCGCTCTTGTTGCCCAGGCTGCACAATCTCAGCTCACTGCAACCTCCATCTCCCAGGTTCAAGCAATTCTCCTGCCTCGGCCTACCAGGTAGCTGGGATTACAAGCATGTGCCACCATATCTGGCTAATTTTTGTATTTTTAGTAGAGACGGGTTTCTCCATGTTGGCCAGGCTGGTCTCGAACTCCCAACCTCAAGTGATCCACCTGCCTCGGCCTCCCAAAGTGCTGGGATTACAGGCATGAACCCCTGTGCCCAGCCTGTTATAACCTTAAAAGCTAACACTGATTGAGTACTTACAAGGTATTAGACATTATTCCAAGTCTTTTCTGTATCGTAACTGATTCACTAATTAACAATGACCTTGTTTTCGTAAATTGAAGTCACTGGGACACAGAGTGGTTAAGTAATTTGCCCAAGATTATTCAGCTTATAAAAAGGAGAGCTAAGGCCAGGTGTAGTGGCTCATGCCTGTAATCCTAGCACTTTGGGAGAGCGAGGTGGGCGGATCACAAAGTCAGGAGATCGAGATTATCCTGGTTAACACTGTGAAACCTCAGCTCTACTAAAAATACAAAAAAATTAGCCAGCTCGGTGGCACTCATCTGTAGTCCCAGCTACTCGAGAGGCTAAGGCAAGAGAATCACTTGAACCCAGGAGGCAGAGGTTGCAGTGAACTGGGTCACGCCACTGTACTCCAGCCTGGGTGACAGAGCGAGACTCCATCTCAAAAAAAAAGAAAAAAAAAAAGAAGAGGGCTGAGTAATCCCAGCACTTTGGAAGGCTGAGGTGGGTGGATCACCTGAGGTCAGGAGTTCAAGACCCACCTAGTCAACAAGGTGAAACCCCATCTCTACTAAAAATACAAAAATTAGCCAGTTTTGGTGGTGGGTGCCTGTAATCCCAGCTACTTGGGAGGCTGAGGCAGGAGAATTGCTTGAACCAGGAGGCAGAGGTTGCAAGTGACCTGAGATCACACCACTGCACTCCAGCCTTGGTGACAGAAGAAAAAAAAAATAAAGGAGAGCTGGATTCAAACCCAGACAACCATTCTCAGAATCCATGCTCTGAAACATAGGCCACACCCTAGAGACTTTGTAAATCTGAATATATATCAGGTAAGTATTAAGCATTCCACCCAGATAAAGCCATGGCAAGAAACAGAAGAGGCTGGGAGCCCTGAATTAGGTCAGCCCAGCAGCCCACAGCCAGGTTTCTGCTTCATGAGAATAAAGACATCTGTCTTATAAACTCTTCTACTTCTAAGACCCTTATTTATTTATTTATTTATTTTGGTAGCAAAATGCCATTGAAAAGTTTAATTCCTGTCTCAGAGAAGCTGAGGGACTTTTAACTCCAAGCATGGTTAGAGAGGAATTCTGAAACCTCTGAGGTCATTCCACCCTGAGGTCCTATGAGATGGCAAGAACTTAAAAACTTGAGTGGGGGTGGGAGGAAAGAGGAGAAGATGAAGATGGGGTGCTGGGAGCGGGTGTCGTCACAGCTGCTTGTTCCATCTCACGTATAGGAGGGGAGGTCTGCAGGCTGTGAGAATGCATCAGGAGGGTGTGTTGGTACTTACCTGGCCCCACAGAAGTTCTCCAATTCCAATGAAGAGACACCACAACCACTGGGACAGGCTGAGCCTTGTACAACTGAAGGGTTTACCCCCAAATTCCACGATGAAAATCTAGAATAGAGAAAGGGGCAGCCCACCATCAAGGAAGTGACTAACAGGCAGCTCTGGCCCTCTAGTCAAGGCCCCCAAAGCCACATCATCCCCCTGCCTCAGGATCCTTGGGTGCAAGTTCTGATTTGCTTGTAAGGGAGGGGAAAAGAGGAAATTTCTAAGGGGAGACAGACACAAACAGCCTTTATAGAGCACTCTGGCGGGGAGACAGTCAGAGTTACTATGACTATGAGTAACAGATGATCTGGAGGAGTTAGGGGAGCTGGAGGCTTCTTGTGACTAAAACCAGTTAGTGACAAGAAGGTAGAGTGATGGAGACAGGAACTGAGGATGAGGTGGGGGGATTGCTTGAACCTGGGAGATTGAGGCTGCACTCCAGCCTGGGTGACACACACACAGAGAAAATCTGTCTCAAAAAAAGAAAAAAAGGCCAGGCATAATAGCATTTTGGGAGGCAGAGGATTGCTTGAGGCTAGGAGTTTAAGACCAGCCTGGACAACAGAGTGAGACCCCATCTCTATTTTTAAAATTAAATTGGAAAAAAAAAAAAAAAGGAATTGAAGATGGGGAAACATAAGAGAGGTACCTGGCTGAGGGATGGGACAGGAGCGCTTTTGTTACATGGTTAGCTCATAGTCTCGTACTGGAGGAGTGCAAGCTGGGCTGACTATGTAATATATGTACACCCTCCCATTACTTCTCTTTCTCTGAGTTGCACAACACTTTTTATCATAAGCCCTTCAAAACAAAGGGGCAGGGGCAGGGACAGGGAGAGAGTCTATACTAGGTGTGCATGCACATTTCATACAGGCTGACAGGAGCCATAGAAGGGCTAGAAGAGAACGGCACTTCTTTTGGTCACTTTGTGAAATTTCTGTGTGTTTAGAAAGATAATGAAAGGATTTTACAAGTATTATTTTATTTGCAGTCAACATGCTGCCCTGCACTGGAGCTCCTGACACACTGGGCTCCAATTCTAGAGCAATATGCAAAAGAAAGTAAATTGGGAATCCCAAAGTATTCAACCTACAGCCCCAGTCCCCATAATTCCCTCATTCCTTTTCCTAGGTATTTAGGGAATCCCAGCTCCCAGCTTCTGCCCTGTATCATCCCAGATCTCCTGCCTCAACTGCAGATAGAATCTCACCTGGCAGATGAACGTGCCCAAGACTACACTGCAGAAGATGACGTTGCGGTAGATGCCTGAAAAGACGTTCTTCTCTCCATGGATCTTTCGGGAGTTGATTTCATTGAAGAGCTGCATCAGCACGAAGGTGTTGAAAACAATTGTATAGTGCTGGGTGGGTGGTGAATGTAGAGGTGCCTTCCTCCCACTATCAATATCAAAGAATTTCTCACCTAGTGGGGAGAGGAGAAGCATTGGATGGTGAGTGTGGTCTGAACTAAGAGTCAGAATGTGTCGGAACAGCTATATTGCTTCCTTATGCCTGGTGTCCATTCCAATTGATCAATATCTGAGCTATACTAGTTATTTATTTTTTTGACATAGGGGCTCACTCTGTTGCCCAAGCTGATGTGCAGTGACCTGATCGTGGCTCACTGTAGCCTGGACCTTCCTGCTCAAATGATCCTTCCACCTCAGCCTCCCGAATAGCTGGGACTACAGGCATGTATCGCCATGCCTGGCTAATTTTTTGTTTTACTAGTTATTAAATATTTTCAATGTTAGCCCTGGTCTCGACTTATTTTACCTTCTTTCTCAGCTTGCTGCATCGATACTTGCTTTCATGCAGTGCAGCATGGTAATAAGACTATGTGCACTGGAGTCAGGAAATCCTAGGTTTGAATTTTAGTGCAACTATGTATTCATTATGGGACCTGAGCTTAATTTTTTGCATCTATAAAAAAAGAAGTAATAAAGCCTCCCTTGTGAAATTCTTGAGTACATACAGTAGCATAATGCGCCGTGTAGCGGGAATACAGAAAGCACTGGGAGGTGAAGCTACACTCACTCCTGGTCTGTGCTCCGCTTGCTCTCAGGCTACCTTCTTTCCTGAGGCCATTCTCTGCCCCCACCTCCAACCAGCACCCCAGCTGCTGCCCCACCCCAAAGTGGCTCACCTGCAAAGACAAGGATAAAGATGACAATGAGCTGATAGAACGCATGGCCCAAGATGTTCTTCATCATAGTGCGTGAGATCAGAGGCTTATTTCGGCCGTAGGGGCGCCGCTTCAACAGGGATTCCGTAGGGGGCTCCGTGGCCAGGGCCAGCGAAGCAAATGTGTCCATGATTAGATTCACCCACAGCATCTGCACCGCTTTCAATGGGGAATCCTAGTGGGAAGAAGCACCAGTCTTTTCAGCTTTCCTCAGAAACCAGACCACCTTTGCCCTTTTGAAGGTCCAGCTCCCACAACCCACCTAGACTTGGAATCTGGCCACTTCCAAGCTGAGTGACTGTGAGAAAGTTACTTAACTTCCTTGAGCCCTAAGTTCCCCACCCATAAAATGGGGATAATACTATCTACTTTGCAAGGTCATTTTTGAAGAATACAGGTAGTGTATATAAATGCTTATCACAGCAGCTGACACATAAGTGCTAAGCTAAGGCCCGGAAGTTACCATCATTCCACAAAAGCAGATGAAGACAGTGGACTTAGTAGAGCTAACTCCTGTCCCAATGTCATGGGGAAGCCCTGTCCTTACTCTTCAGTAAACACACTGTACCCTCCACCCCGTGTTCCTTAGCTCCTGCCTCGTCCCTCCCGTCTCAGCCCACCAACACCGCCTTCACCTGAGTGATACAGGCTCCAGTGAAGGCTACAATCACGGCCACCACGTTGACAGTGAGCTGGAACTGCAGGAACTTGGAGATGCTGTCATAGACATTTCGTCCCCACATCACTGCCTTCACAATGCTGGTGAAGTTGTCGTCTGTTAGGATGATGTCTGAAGCCTCTTTTGCTACATCTGTGCCTGCGATGCCCTGGGGTAAGATGGGAGGGAAAACAGTGAGGGAGTGGATGGAGCCCAGCCTCCATTTCCTGACCTCCAGGAAGCTTCAGAAGTCAGTGTAAATACTAGAGGGCACATTCGCCACACAAAAGAAAGAGAAAACGCGTCACCGTCACTCTATAGAAAGGAAGGTGGGGCCTGATGCCACCACCCTTACTACTGAGCCCAGACTGGAAATTACAGTCATCTTGATATCCCTTTCTCCCTCCTCTCCTACCCCCTCAACCTTGGAAACTAATTAAAAGGTTGAGAGCAAATCCTATCCATTCTACCTTCAAATTTTTACATTTCTGTTCCCACTGCCAGTATCTCACTTAAGCCCGTGTCATTCCAACACCTTTGAGAAACTCTACATTTGTTCTAGGAGTAGTGGTATGGCAGCACAGTTCAGAAGTTTCATCTTCGTTCAAAATCTTCTTTTTAAATTAAATTGAAAAATAATTGAGACAGGGTCTTGCTCTGTTGCCCAGGCTGGAGTGTAGTGGCAAGATCTCAGCTCACTGCAAGCTCCACATCTGGGGCTCCAGTGATCCTCTCACCTTTACCTCCTGAGTAGCAGGACTTACAGGCATTTGCTTACCATGCTGAGTTAATTTTTAAATTTTTTGTAGAGATGGGGGTCTCTCTGTATCACTTAGCCTTATAATTACTACTATGAAATGATCTCCAAGTTATGTTGTTAGGTGAAGAAAGAAAGGCAGAAAAAGAGTTTATGGTATGGTATCACTTAGCTGAGGGGGAAGGCCATAAATATATTACATATTTTATTTATTTATTTATTTATATTTTTTGAGACAAAGTCTCACTCTGTCGCCCAGGTTGGAGTGCAGTGGTGCGATCTCAGCTCACTGCAACCTCCGACTCCCAGGTTCAAGTGAGTCTCCTCTCCTGCCTCAGCCTCCTGAGTAGCTGAGATTACAGGAAGTTAGACATCTATAATTCTTTTAAAGCTATTATTTATTATTATTTCTTCTAAAAGTGAAATAAAAAGAAGTATGTAATTCTAAAGTTAAATGAAAAATAAATATGAATTCACAAAGTATTTTATCTTTGTGAGCAAACACAAAACAAACACAAAAACAAGTGAGGCTTAAGAGCATGCTTCTTAGCTTTGTCCACTGAAAAGGCTTAGAAACAAAGATCTACTCAGTGGCAAGGAATGCCTTTGAGGTTCAATTGTGTTCTCTAAATACCATTTCAGGCCAGGCATGGTGACTCACTCCTGTAATCCCAGCACTTTGGGAGGTCGAGGCGGGTGGATTACTTGAGGTCAGGAGTTTGAGACCAGCCTGGCTAACATGGTGAAGCCCCATCACTGCTAAAAATACAAAAAATTAGATGTGGGTGGCAGTGGGCACCTGTAATCCCAGCTACTCAGGAGGAAGAGGCAGGAGAATTGTTTGAACCTGTGAAGGGAAGTTTGCAGTAAGCTGAGATTGCCCCACTGCACCTCAGCCTGAGCGATAGAGTAAGGCCCTGTCTCAAACATAAACGAACAAATAAATAAAAATACCATTTCACATTAAAAAGAAGCAGGAATCCTTGCAAAAATGAACGATTTCATATACAGGATAAAAAAGAACCAAGAACCAAGGAATAAACCAAGAAAGATTACTTTTGCACTGACCTAGATTAAAAACAAAATTAAAAAAAAGTTATTAAAGACAACTGGGGTTTTATCTAAAGGACTCAGCAATGTTGAAGCGGCCTCTTCTGCTTAATGGTGGGTCACTGCCTAAGGATGGGTCACTATGAATTCATAATGACACTTAAAAAAAAATCCACTCATTGGTCACCTTTGGAGGTTCCTAAAATGTCAACTCATCATTTGAAAAAACCTGCAACTCCATCAGAGAACACGAACCAAAGGGGGAAAAAAACCAAAAAAACAAAAAACCAGCAAGTAAAAAACCAAACCAAAACAAAACAAAAACCCACCTTTCATATAGGATTAGAACCTCAGAGTAATCAAATAGTCAATGAAGGGGATTCTCTTTTTAGAGAAGTATTTACGTTAATAAATAAATAATTACAATATTGTCATTTTGCAGCCCTCAATGAAAGAAAAGGTATAGCATCTGATAACTTATAGAACCAACTACTTGCTTATAGGAAATGTAAGGAAGAAAATAACATGTTAAAGGAAATCACAGTGAAATAATCAACAAAATCCACACTGAGAGATAGTCTATGCAGACAAATAAGCCGGTTCCTTTAAAACTACGTTGCTAGGAAAAAAAACGGAGAGGGATTGTGCAGAAGAGAGTTGGCATAGCAGGCTTGAGACTGCTATCTTTAGGAAGGAATGCTTGCAGGGTGGGCCCTTGGCTGGCATCTGGGAAATGAGCTCTCAGAATGCTCCCAGTCAACAACTAACTGATAAGGGTGGCTCATTGTGTCTAGACTGTGTCCAAACAGTATGGTTTGTATTGAACATCTGCCTTCCTCCTGGGAGTCTGGAATTTTGGTATGGATTAGGCAGAAGGTGCCTATTTGACCAGCTCCAAGAAAAACCTTGGGTACCAAGTCCGTAATGGGCTTCCCTAAGCAGAACATCACACAGATAATGCTGTTTTCATAACTGGGGAAAGAATGGACTCTGTTTGACTCCTCATGGGAGGGAGTGCATAAGAAAGACTGCAAATGGATGGACTCCACCAGTGTCTTTCTCTTACGATACAACTGTATTCTTACTATGCCCCTGTTATAAATCTCAGTCCTGAGTACAACTATATGCTGAGTCCCATGAGTCGTCTTAACAAATCCATGAATATAGGGGTGGTTTTGGGGACCTATGAGATCAGTGGTTCTTTTCTTTTCTTTCTTTTTTTTTTTTCTTTTTAATTGTCAAGGGAAAGCATGAACGCAGTCCCCCACTAACACAAATTATGCAGTTGAGTTTCCCACATTTGGGGAAATCGCAGGGGTCAGCATATCTGGAGTGCAGTGGATAAGCCTTGCCCTGGGAAAACCACCTTCGTGATCATGGTATCTGCCAGATAAGTTTTTTTTTTTTTTTTTTTGAGACAGAGTCTCACTGTCGCCCAGGCTGGAGTGCAGTGACACAATCTCGGCTCACTGTAACCTCTACCTTCTGTGTTCAAGTGATTCTCCTGCCTCAGCCACCAGAGTACCTGGGACTACAGGCTCGTGCCACCATGCCTGGCTAATTTTTTGTATTTTTAGTAGAGATGGGGTTTCACCGTGTTAGCCTAGGGTAGTCTCGATCCCCTGACTTCGTGATCCACCTGCCTCGGCCTCCCAAAGTGCTGGGATTACAGACATGAGCCACTGTGTCCGGCCAGATCAGTGGTTCTTAAAGTTTAGGGTGCATCAGACTCACTGAGAATCATTGTCACAACACAATGAACAGATTTAACATAATTAATTAAGAGAGAGAGATCCAAGATGGCTGATCACTAGCAGCTCGGGATTGTAGCTCCCAGTGAAAGCACAGAGAACGAGAGGACGCCATACTTTCAAACGAATTTTTGTTGTTCAAGGACCAGGAGATTCCCAGCGGAGGAGCCCCATGGGTCGCCAGCGTGACTCTTGTGGCCAGTGCAGCGGTTTTACCAGCGCCTCAGTGTGGTGGTTCTCGGTGCAGAGTAAACCGGACTGGCTCCCCTTTTGGCCGACGTTTGGAGCTCCGGGAAGGCAGAGTTGCCTATTAAGGAAGCCAGACTGGAGACTCCCAGGCAGAAAAGCACCATCAATCTTAACACTGCTGTTTTAGCCGGCGCAGTGGGTTGCTCAGATTCAGGCGCTGGGAATCAACAAGTTGGATGTCCACTCAGAAACCTAATTAGAAAGCTGGTAATCACAAAGACGACAGATGGATAAATTTATAATGAAGGGAAGAAACCAGCCTAAAAAGGCTGAGAATGCTCAAAATCAGAACGCCTCTCCCTCTACAGGGGATCACAGTTCCTCATCAGCAACGGAACAAGGCCTGATGAGGAATGAGTGTGTTCATTAACAAAAGTAGGCTTCAGAAGGTGGATAAGAAACTTCTGTGAGTTAAAAGAACTTGTTCTAACCAAATGCAAAGAAACTAAGAACTTTGAAAAAAGGTTTGATGAAATGCTAACGAGAATAGACAATTTAGAGGGGAATATAAGTGAATTAATGGAGCTGAAAAACACAACACGAGAACTTTACGAAGTATGCACAAATTTTAACAGCTGAATTGATCAAGTAGAAGAAAGGATATCAGAGGTCGAAGACCAACTTAATGAAATAAAACGAGAAGACAAGATTAGAGAAAAAAGGATAAAAAGGAACGAGCAAAGTCTCCAAGAAATATGGTACTATGTGAAAAGACCTAATCTACGTTTGATAGGTGTACCTGAATGTGACGAAGAGAATGAATCCAAGCTGGAAAATACTCTTCAGGATATTATTCAGGAAAACTTTCCCAACCTAGCAAGGCAGGACAATATTCAACTCCAGGTAACACAGAGAACGCCACAAAGATATTCCTCAAAAAGACCAACCCCAAGGCACATAATCGTCAGATTCACCAGGGTTGAAATGAAGGAGAAAATACTAAGGGCAACTAGAGAGAAAGGTCAGGTTACCCATAAAGGGAAGCCCATCAGACTCACAGCAGATCTCTCAGCAGAAATCCTACAAGCCAGAAAAGAGTGGGGGCCAATATTCAACATCCTTAAAGAAAAGAACTTTCAACCCAGAATTTCATATCCAGCCAAACTAAGCTTCACAAGTGAAGGAAAAATAAAATCTTTTGTGAACACGCAAGTACTCAGAGATTTCATCACCACCAGGCCTGCTTTACAAGAGGTTCTGAAAGAAGCACTACACATAGAAAGGAACAACCAATATCAGCCTTTCCAAAAATATACCAAAAAGTAAAGACCATCAACATAATGAAGAATTTACATCAACTAATGGGCAAAACAGCCAGCTAGTATCAAATGGCAGTATTAAACTATTAATCTTAAATTTAAATTAACAAAATCCCCCAATCAAAAGACACAGCCAAAACCCATTGATATGCTGCATCCAGACCCATCTCACATGCAAGGATACACAAAGACTCAAAACAAAGGGATGGAGAAAAATTTACCAACCAAATGGAGAGCAAAAATAAATAAATAAATAAATAAATAAATAGCAAGCAGGAGTTCGCCTCTGATAAAATAGACTTTAAAGCAACAAAGATCAAAAGAGGCAAAGAAGGAAGGATCAATGCAACAGGCAGAGCTAATGATCTTAAATATATATGCACCAAATACAGGAGCACCCAGATACATAAGACTTATAAAGAGACTTAGACTCCCACACAATAATAGTGGGGGACTTTAACATCAATATTGGACAGATCAATGAGACAGAAAATTAACAAGGATATCCCGGATTTGAACTCAGATCCGGAACAACTAAACTTAATAAACATTTATAGAACTCTCCACTTCAAATACACAAAATATACACTCTTATCAGTACCACATCACACCTACTCTAAAAGTGAAGTAAATCATTCCCCAATAATTGTATAGCATTTCACAGGTTTAAATGAAATATTGGTTGGCTGCTTGTTTGTTATTTTCTTCCCTCATTTCTTCCTGTCTCAATTATTAAGCACAATTATTGGCATAAAAGAGGTTTTCAATACCCATTTTCAGACTGCATTCTAGCCTGGGCAATAGAGCAATACTCCTGTTCTCCCTCTTCTTCTCCTTCATTTTTTTTTTTTTTTCTTTCTTTTTCTTTAAAAAAAAAAAAAAGAAAGAAAGCTAAATAGGAAAATGAAAATCCTTCATCTTCTTCAAGATCCCTCATTGAAATGGTATTTCACACATGGCCTTAGATTTGCCTGCATTACGATTATTAAGTACCTGTTTTATTTCTTTTTACTCAAACAAAACAAAAAAAAATGATTTCTGGGCCCCAATTCCAGGCTTTCCAATTCAGTAAATCTGGGATGGGGACTGAGAATCTGTTTTCTATAGGTTGGTATAGAAACCTACTATGCAGCTGGAACAGCTGTACAACTACCGGTGCAGCTGGAAGGAGAGGCACTTCAAGAGCCACTGCTATAAGTTAAGAGACTTAACAGATGTATCAAATAATTGCAAGGTATGGATCTTATTTGAATCCTGATTTGGGCAAATAAGCTATAAAAACAACATTTATGAGTCTGTTAGGAAAATGTGAACAAACTAGATATTTGATGACAGTATGGAAACATCAATTTTGTTCTGAGATAATGGTATTAAGATTCCTTTAGATATAGTTTCTTGATACATACTTATTATTTACAGGCAAATAATGAAATTGTTTTCACCCCACACCCTCCCCCCCATATAATGAAATTTTTAAGGATGAAATTACATGATGCCTTGCATTTGCTTCAAAAATAATTCAGATGAAGATTGGGGACATAGATGTGGGGATCACTGAAACAAGACTGGCCATGTGTTGATCATAGTTGAAGATGAGTGACAGGTACCTGTCAGGTCTCCCTACTTTTGCATGTTCTTGAAATTTCCTAGAATAAAAACCTTAAAAAAAAAAAAAAGAGTTCCCTAAAGAAGATTACTTCTTAAATGTCCTTCCACCGCTAAAAATCACCAACAGTACAATCTGTATGGGAGGCTTATAATCATAAACTACTTGAGTCTCAAGATCGAATCCAGGGGGGCTTCTCAAACTTTCTGAACATCGGAATTAACTGGTGTGGCTGTTAAAAAAAAAAAAATTCTGGTATTCATAACAGACCTACTGAATTAAGAAATTCAACTGTGGAGCCTTGGAACATGTGATTTTAAATGAACTTTCCAAGTGATTCTGATGCTCTTGGCCTCACAAGTGAAAAGCAGAGAACCCAACGGTGCCAGCCACAAAGTGCATCTCCCACAGGGAACACGAATCTTCTAGTTTGTCTAGTTCACAACATCACATGTTTATGGGCAAGTTTATGTTGGTCTGGCTTTCCTGCATGATGATCCTTCATGACATCCCTCCCTTTTTTTTTTTGAGACAGAGTGTCACTTTATCACCCAGGCTGGAGTGCAGTGGTGCAATCTCGGCTCACTGCAACCTCTGCTCCTGGGTTCAACCAATTCTCCTGCCTCAGCCTCCTGAGTAGCTGGGACAACAGGTGCATGCCACCATGCCCAGCTAATTTTTGTATTTTTAGTAGAGACAGGGTTTCACCATTTTGGCCAGGCTGGTCTCGAACTCCTGACCTCAGGTGATTCACCCACCTTGGCCTTCCAAAGTGCTGGGATTACAGGCTTGAGCCACTGTGACTGGCCGACTTCCCTCCCTCTTATCTATTCTTCATCCTTGATGGGTCCCCAGTTACGTATATTATGATTGGTCAGGTAGATAGGAGAGATGGGGTTGGAGAAAAGAGCACACCGTGGGCTGTGCAGGTATAGCAAGCAGCAGGCTACCAGAAGCCGGACCTGGCTTCCTGATGGAGAAGGCAGCTTGCAATCAGAGAGAGACTGTGCTGAGCTTACCATGGCAAAACCAACGTCCGCTTTCTTCAGAGCAGGCCCATCATTTGTGCCATCACCAGTGACAGCCACCACCTGCCGGTGTTCCCCAACAGTGCTGTCAATGATGCCTGGGAGAAACGGACATACCACAGTGAGCTTTTCTGGTCTCTCCTACCCCTCAGTTCCTACCACCCACACTCCTACTTTCTTCTTTCCTTCCCTTTTCCCTTTCCTACAGGTTCTGCAGGAACCACCCAAGAGCAGTAATTTTGTTCATGGGTAGCACTAAACTAAGTCTGTCCTCATCTGGTACCCTAAGGCAGCTATGAAAAAAACACTGGATGGATTTCAAGGCAGAGACCTGGGGGTCAAACTGTACCATTTCCACATACCAGCTGGGCAGTTTGGGTAAATTACTTGTCTTCTCAGCCTCAAACTTCCTTATTTATAAAATGGGAATACCTGCCCTGCCTAGTTCACAGTACTGTTAGTAAATGAGATATGATCATGTTTTTAAAAATCGAACAACTTGCCAGGTGCATTGGCTCATGCCTGTAATCCCAGCACTTTGGGAGGTCAAGGCGGGTGGATCACCTGAGGTCAGGAGTTCGAGACCAGCCTGGCCAAAATGGTGAAACCCTGTCTCTACTAAGAATACAAAACTTAGTCGGGCATGGTGGCACATGCCTGTAGTCCCAGCTACTCAGGAGTCTGAGGCAGGAGAATTGCTTGAACTCAGGAGGCAGAGGTTGCAGTGAGCTGAGATGGCGCCACTCCATTCCAGCCTGGGTGACAGAGCAAGAGTCTGTCTCCAAAAATAAAAATGAAAAATAAAAAAATAAAAACCCAACAACTTTATTGTGCGTCATACTCACCAAGGGCTCAGATGTTTGCTAACTGTATGTTCTCCCCGCTAGCCTGGGAGCTCTCCTAAGACCTCCCTACTCGGATAGGAGAGTGGCTTTGGCTGGTGGTTCTTACCTGTCCTCACTCTGGCCTACCTTCAGCTATGGCAGGCACCCATTTGGAAGCCAACCTCACCTTTCACCAGGGTGTGCTTGTCAGTGGGAGAAGATCGCGCCAGGACCCGAAGTTTAGGCCAGATCTTGTCCAGCTTTTCTTGCTCTACCTGCCAACACCAGACCACACCTGGATCAGTCAAACCCAGAAAAGCTACCCGGGAAAATCTTACTTCTCCATCCACTGATAGATCAGGCACGCCACAGTCCCACGTGGGAGTGCTACTCAGGCTTCAGCAGAGATGAAACAGCCAACCAGTCTCTAAGGGTAGATTCACGGATGATGATCATTCAGGCCCTGCTTTTCCCTTCTCCTCCCAAGGCCCTTCCTAGGGAGCCAATCCCCCCTTTCCCAGAGCCTTAAGGGGAGGTGGGCCAGGGTTGGCTCTTGGCTCGGACAGGTAAAGTGGTGCTTCTGAGGTCTTAGGTTTGATTTCTATGCAGCTCAGGAAAGCTTGGATCTGTGCCACCGCCAGGCCACGTTCTCCTTTAGCCACTGTTAGCCAAAGGGCAGGAACACGGGAGGGGTGGGCTAGGGGGAAGTCAGCACAAAATCATTTCATGACTGAAAAAGCAGAAAGACATGAAAAGTTAGTGGCACTGTCTCAAAAGGTAGCTTATGAATGAAGCTAATGAGAACAAAGCCAACTCCCATTTATTTTTTTTTTAGATGGAGTCTCAATCTGTCACCAGGCTGAAGTGCAGAGGCGTGACCTTGGCTCACTGCAACCTCTGCCTCCCAGGTTCAAGCGATTCTCCTCCCTCAGCCACCTAAGTATCTGGGACTACAGCCATGCACACCACACACAGCTAATTTCTATGTTTTTAGTAGAGATGGGGTTTCACCATGTTGGCCAGGATGGTCTCGATCCTCCCACCTCAGCCTCCCAAAGGGCTGGGATTACAGGCATGAGACGCCGCACCTGGTTGGCAACTCCCAATTTTACCATACGAACAGCTTTGGTACAAGGAGATATTTCACAATGAATAGCTTTCAGTTCAGAAACCACCCACTTTCCCTGACATGACCCAGATACCTTAGGCTAGAACCCGCCTCTTCCTTTCCAGGTGAGGTCCTGGTTCCCCCTATCCAGGACCCACCTCGCCTTTCTCATTGCGGATGAGCCGGTTGAATTCTTTGCCTTCTAAGCACAGGAAGTCATCCCCAGGTGTCAGAATGCCACACTTGGTGGCGATGGCCCGGGCTGTGTTGATGTTGTCACCTGTCACCATTCTGACAGTAATGCCAGCTTGTTTGCATTTGGCAATAGCATCTGGCACCTATGGAGAGTGAAGAAAGGGGAAGGCGCAGATGGGTGGAGACTCTGCTCATCTGTCCCTTTTCATCGGTCGCTTTGTGGCAGACAGGAGAGAGGCACCCTAGAAGTGGTGCCATGTGGCATGGACTAGGTCTGGTCATTTTGATACTGCTCGGTGCCATCTCACTCTGTCCTACCCACAGCCGTCATATTTGAATTTGCCCTATTTGTGCCATGAGTTGAAGGGGAATTTGCTTTGGGATCCAGGTGTAAAAACCTGCTCTTCCACTTACAATGGGGACCACTCAGCAGTGCATGATGGCATTTTGCCATGTGGCCACTGCTGTCTTTTCTGTCTTTTCAGGTGGAGAAGCTTTTGCCACTCTCCACCCACCTGGCCAATGCTCCAGCCTCATCAGCTCTTTGTAATTTCCCACATGCATGACACCCTCTCATGCCTCTGGGCCTTGACAATTAACAGTCCATCTGTCTGAACTTCTTAGAAGCAGAGACTTTTCAATCCCCTAGTGTCTAGAATAGTTATCAGCACACAGCAGGTACTCAAAAAGAATGTGTTGATTGACAGGAGGGAGCTAAAGACAAAGTTGGTGTCCTGGTTAAATTGGCCTCCTGACCAGCTTAACTACCAAATAATGAGCCCAATAAGCCCTTTGCTTCTCACCACTCAGACATCATTAACCCTAGGAATGCCACAGTCTATCAAATTGTCACTCCACAGCAGTCCTGTGAAGCAGGAAGCACAGAAACATCTATCCCTGTAAGTGAGAAGCAGTCAGGTTGCTTTCCTGGGGTCACAACTAGAAAGAGAAGTAGTACCCCATTTCCTGAGACTCCTGAGTGGCTCACCTCTGGGCGCACAGGGTCCTCAATGCCCACCACTGCGATACAGGTCAATTCGGTGAGGATCTCATTCTCATTGTCCCAAGAGGGCTCTGCGTCGTCGAAATCCCGGTAAGCTATGCAGATAGTCCGGAGTCCATCAGAGGCCATGGGCTCGATGACAGTGCGTATCATATCATCTCGGTCTTTATTCTTGAATGGCACTGCTTCCCCTTTCCGGTCCAGGATTCGATTACACCTGGGGAGGCGCACAGTAAGAACACGGTGTCTCTCTTCCCATTCAATACGTTTTTACAACCATTGACAGACATTTTGGCAACTCTGTATTATTCCTGAAGACATTGCTCCAACCATGGCCAAACGTTTCCTTCATTCATCACCCAGCTGAGTCCCTTTCCAAGGTGGGTGGGCTGTGGATGGAGTAAGGTCTAGGTGGTTAGAGAGTATGTTCTGTGTGTCATCTGTTCTTACCCATATGTGAATGCAACGCTGAGTCATTTGTGAATCACCCGCTCTTCTGAACTTCTTGAAGGCAGAGAGACTTTTTCAATCCTGACTATGTAGAACACTGCTCACTGCATGATGGTGTAGGGGGAGGTTTTCTATACAAGAATGTGCTGATTAAAAGAAGGTGGTTAAAACCAAGTTGGGGCACTGGTTAATTCAGCTCTACTGGCCCTATACCTAAGTAGGGTCAACTTTTGATGATCTATGGGTAATCTATTAATAGTCACTGTTTTTTTTATTTTTTGGAGACAGCTCTGTTGCCCAGGCTGGAGTGTAGTGGCACAATCTCGGCTCACTGCAAACTCCCGGGTTCCAGTGATTCTCCTGCCTCAGCCTCCTGAGTAGCTAGGATTACAGGCACACGCCACTACAACTGACTGATTTTTGTATTTTTTTTTTAGTAGAGACGGGGTTTCACCATGTTGGTCATGCTGAACTCGAACTCCTGACCTCGTGATCCACCTGCCTCTGCCTCCCAAAGTGCTGGGATTACAGGTGTGAGCCACTGCACTCAGCCAAATAGTCACTTTGAAAGTTATGTAAATTCCCTGTAATCAGATATGGGAATGGGAAGGAAAAGAGAACACAGAACGAATGTTTCTAGTACTTGTTATGTGTGAGGCTTTTACATACATGGAATCATTTACAGTGAGGTGGGTAGTACTATTGGGAGCTGAGTACTACTATCTCTGTTTTCAGATTAGGAAATGGAAACTTGGGATCGTCCAGGTCTGAATCCTGGCTGTGCCATTAGCAGCTGTATCGCCTTGAGCGAGATACTTAACTTCCTTATATTTCTGTTTTCTCAATCTGTAAAACAGCGATAACCATAGTACCCACCTTAATGAGTTGTGAGGATTAAATACAACGAGCCACCTTACACACTTAAAAAGCATGCGTGGCCTGAGTAGATGCTGGGATATTAGTTATTATGTCACCTCCTGGCTGGAAGTCTCCCTCATTTGCATGGTTTCAGTGTGGGGCATGCATCCATGCCTTCCTGAGGTGAGGACCTTGAAGGGAAGCAGAGCGGGCAGGGGTGCTCACTTGCGCAAGATGATCTCGGAGGCGCCCTTGCTGTACATACGGAAGCCACCATTGGGGTTCCTGATGACAGTACTCATTGACTTGCGCACTGAGTTGAAGGTGTACACCTTGTAGAGCTTCTCCTCAGGCACTTCGTTACGCACGGCCTGGTAATCCTGCTTCAGATCTGTGACAAAGCCCAGCAGAGCACACTCGGTCTTGTTGCCCACCTGCCGAGGCAGGCCTCCTTCCTTCTCTGGAGGCTGGGAGAAGAAATATGAAGCACTCTTGAGTAAGATGCCTTGACAAGGCAGAGAACTTAGGGAGGAAGGGACTCGTTTACAAAGCCTTCACATATATACCTGGAGCATATGGGGGAAATAACATTTGTTTTTTGTTTTTTTCTTTTTTGGAGACAGAGGCTCACTCTATCGCCCAGGCTGGAGTGCAGTGGCATGATCTCGGCTCACTGCAACCTCCACCTCCAGGGTTCAAATGATTCTCCTGCCTCAGCCTCCTAAGTAGCCGGGACTATAGGTACTTGCCAGTATGCGCAGGTAATTTTTGTATTTTTTAGTAGAGACAGAGTTTTACCATGTTGGCTAGGCTGGTCTCCAACTCCTGACCTCAGGTGATCTGCCCACCTCAACTCCCAAAGTGCTGGGATTACAGGTGTAAGCCACAACACCTGGCATCGTTTTTCTTTTTCTTTCTTTTTTTTTTTTTTGACATAGCACAGTGGCATGATCTCAGCTCACTGCAGCCCTGACCTCCTAGGGTCAAGCAATCTTCCCACCTCAGCTTCCCGAGTAGCTGGGACTACAGGTGTGCAACCATGCCTGGCTAATTCTGTTTATTTTTTGTAGAGATGAGGTCTCACTATATTGCTCTTGAACTCCTGGGCTCAAGTGATCCTCCTACTTTGGCTTCCCAAAGTGTTGAGATTACAGACGTAAGCCACTACACCCAGCCTGCTTTTTTCAAGAGTGAGCAGAGAGTGGTCAGTGGTAACTGTGATCCTTGTGCCATCCATGACTTAGGGGTTTTGTGGTTGCCTCTAGGGGTAGTGCTGGTGTCTCACCCTGCATGCGACTTATTCTAATACTCTGTGCTTTTTTCTGGAAAGTGAGTAATTTACTTCTGTTAAGCCCAATTCTACAATGAGCATGAGGTCTCTCCTTAGAGACAAAGCTTTCATATGTTAATTAGGAGGGTAGTTTCTGGCCACAGATTCTCACAGACCCTTACCCCCAACCCTCCATTGACTCCCAGGGATTCTTCCCTAGTCTCACCCAAACACATTCACTCCAGAGTGAGAAATAGGATTTGGGACCACAATTTAGGCAGTGTAAAGAATAAGGGGGTTCATTTCAGAGAAAATTGATTTTCTCTTCCAACCACCCATTTTAAGTGTCTAGGCAAAAGCAATGCTTACCAGAATCTTGGAGGTATAAGCGCTGTTGATAGAAATGCCATTGACAATAAGGTCCAGGACTTTGGGCAGGAAGGCATCAGGGCTTGGGATCTGACGGTAATGGATACCCCCAATATAAGCTTGCACCACAGTCATGCGGTTCATGGTCAACGTGCCTGTCTTATCAGAGCAGATGGCGGTGGCATTGCCCATAGTCTCACAAGCATCCAAGTGCCGTACCAGGTTATTGTCTTTCATCATTTTCTACAAAGGAGAAGAGAAGAGACTTGACAAGGGGACTAACTGGATTCTTCTAAATATAAGTCAAAGGCCATTTCCCAGCCAACATCTCTCCACATTTCATCTTCTAGTCCCACACAAAAATCCAAGATACCAGCCAGGTATGGTGATTCATGCCTGTAATCTCAGCACTTTGGGAGGCTGAGGTGGGCAGATCACCTGAGGTCAGGAGCTCAAGACCAGCCTGGCTAATGTGGTGAAACCCTGTCTCTACAAAAGGTAGCTGGGCATGGTGGTACATGCCTGTAATCCCATCAACTTGGGAGGCTGAGGCATGAGAATCACCTGAACCCTGGAGGCTGAGGTTGCACCATTGCACTCCAGCCTGGGTGACAGACTGAGACTGTCTCAAAAAAAAAAAAAAAAAAAAAAATCCAAGATACTATTTTTGTCTTTCTCTTAAGATTCTACTGGGTCATCTCAACATTGATGCATCTGATGGAAATGATCTTTCCATAATATCAGGGACTTCTGCTCTTGTGAGGCACCAGCCAACGTTTATTGATGATAGAATGGCTTATCTTTTTTGCTAAAGGTTACATGGTAGGCTTCCCTCCCATCTCTATCCTAAAGAAAGAGATAGGATTGTTCCAGTCTCACCTTCACAGAGTAGGCCAGTGAGATGGTGACAGCCAGAGGCAGCCCCTCTGGCACAGCCACCACCAGTACAGTGACGCCGATGATGAAGAACTTGACAAAGTACTGGATGTAGATGGGAGTACATTCAGGGAGCCATGGTCTGCGATTTATCACAAAGTTGTCAATCACAAAGTATAGAATCAGGATGAAAACCGTGAGAGCAGACATGATCAGACCTGTCCAGAGAAACAAGTCACATGAACCCAGGCCTGAGGGTGTTCCTGGGTCCCTAGCCAGAGTTGGATTGGCATGAGTTGTAGCCTTTGTTGCTAATTGTTAAAACCACCATCTCCAGGAAGACTTACTAAAATTCCTGGCCCATTTTCTGTTGCTTGTGCATTACAGCATAGGGAACAGACACTGGCTTCATATTTCAAAGACACAGGTTCTATTCTCAGCACTGCACTAACTTGACTTGCAGCTTTGGACAAGTCATTGACCCTTTCTGAGCCTGTTTCCTAGACCAAATTCCTCATTAATAAGTCAGGGGGTTGATTTGCTTCCTGAAACAGCATTCTGCGATCCTATTCTACACCCGCCCTCTCCCTACAATTCATAATGTCATGACTGTACTTGTCCACTTCCTAGTGGTTTATCAATTTTGACTTCTCCCCTACCAATCTCTGAATGTCGAACGGTTCACATCTTGTTTACAGCAATGTCTCTGTGGTGCCAGTGCATCACCTGCATGACTAACTCTTAGGACAGTGCTTCCCAGCCTTTCTCTTTTCATGGCACACATAGGAGATGCCAATAATAGTAAATATTTATTTATTTATTTTTTGAGACAGAGTCTTGTTTTGTCACCAGGCGCCATCTCGGCTCACTGCAGCCTCCGCCTTCTGGGTTCAAGCAATTATCCTGCCTCAGCCTCCCAAGTAGCTGGCATTACAAGCACGTGCCACCACGCCCAGCTAAGTTTTGTATTTTTTAGTAGAGACAGGGTTTCACCATGTTGGCCAGTATGGTCTCGATCTCTTGGCTTTGTGAGCCGCCCGCCTCAGCCTCCCAAATTGCTGGGATTACAGGCGTGAGCCACCGCGCCCAGCCAATAGTAAATATTTATGTGGGCACCTACTGCGGGCCAGGCAAGCACTTCACAACAACGCTGTGAAATAGGTTACTATTATCACCACTTTTTTAAACATGAGGAAATGAAAGTACTGAGAGGTCTTTGGTATGGCCCATTGGTAGGGTGACCAAACCACCCTGAGACTGAACAGTTTCCAGGGATGTGGGATTTTGCTAAAATTGAGAAAATTCCAAGCAAACTGGGAATGGTTCATTACCCTACATATTACAGTACGTGGAAAAAATCTGCTCAAGGTCAAAACCTATTGGCCTAGGGGTTCTGATTGCCATGGGTGCTGCCTGGCTGCTTTGAGGGCTGATGGAATCAATATCTGGGAACAACTGTCCCTAACTATGGCACAATATTTGGGAAAAGCTCTGCTTTAAATCACAGTCTGGTTTTGGTATTTGCTTTTCCTGAGGGCCTGATGATTTGGGGGTCTCCAAGCAAACTAGAGATGATGATATAAATGAAAGCAAATTCTTCTGTACTTTGCTTGATTAGGGCCAGGACTCAGGTGGAGAAGCAAGACACTGAGGGTGCAAAATTTAAGAAGGAACTCACTCTCCAGGTGGTGGAAGGCATCTGACTTGCCTTACCCTATTCCTGGACTGGCCTGATATATAAAATAAAGCAAAAAAGGAGACTAGGGGTCAGTCATCGGGTAGCTTGTACTCTGAGAACAAGGCAAGGGCCAGGGGCACTGGCTCATGCCTATAATCTCAGCACTTTAGGAGGCTGAGGCAGACATATCACTTGAGGACAGGGGTAGATCACTTGAGGGTAGCAGTTTGAGACTAACCTGCCCAATATGGCAAAACCCTGTCTTTACTAAAAATTAGCCAGGCATGGTGGTGCATGCCTGTAATCCCAGCTACTCAGGAGGCTGAGGCATGAGAATCACTTGAACCCTGGAGACGGAGGTTGCAGTGAGCTGAGATAGCATCACTGTACTCCAGCCTGGGAGACAGAGTCAGATTTTGTCTAAATAAATAAATAAAAGGAACAAGGCAGGGATTGGGAGAATAGTGCAAGAGTCAGGTGAGGCCTATTTAATATTTCAAACCTGTATGCCACGCCTAATAACTTGATTCTGCACCTGCAATTTATCTCATCCATGTGTAGTTTACATGCAAGAGATTTCACAGTAGTTAAAATTAGCTGGGTACTAGAACAGACATGAAGAGGTTAGGCCAACTCAGTCCAATACATCTTTCTGTGATGCTTAAGAAGCTCTCTCTTTGTGCTGTCCGATATGACAGCCACTAGCACATGTGGCTTGTGACCAACTACAATGTGCCCCAGGAACTGGATTTGTAACTTTATTTACTTTTAATTGATTTAAAATCCAGCAGCCACATGTGGTGAGTGGCTGCTATGGTGGGCAGCATAAATCCCTGCTGTCCAATGTGTGCAAACTGTATAAGCAGTGTTGGCATCCTATGGGAGCTTGTTAGGAATGCAGAATCTCAGGCTCCACACCAGACGCCCGGAACTGAATCTATACTTTAACAAGAATCCCAGGTAAGTTGTATACAGCTGTATAAAGTGCAGAGATGTGCTGATTATGATTGTGCTAAACAGAAAGGTGGAGTCAGAATAAACAGTGGTAAAAGACTATTCTTTGGCCAGGCACGGTGGCTCATGCCTGTAATCCTAGCACTTTGCAAGGTTGAGGTGGGCAGATCACTTGAGGCCAGGAGTTCGAGACCAGCCTGGCCAACATGGCAAAACCCCATCTCTACTAACAATAAAAAAATTAGATGGGCGTTGTGGTGTCCACCTGTACTCCCCGATACTTGGGTGGCTGAGGCAGGAGAATCGCTTGAACCAGGAGGCGGATGCTGCAGTGAGCTGAGATGGCGTCACTGCACTCCAGCCTGGGCAACAGAGGAAGACTCCATCTCAAAAAAAAAAAAAAAGACTATTCCTTGAGGGATATGTCCACTGAAGTAGGAATCTTCTTTCTATTTCTTCTCCCCACTCCCCATTCTCCCTCTCCATTGAAAGAAGGTGGTGAGAGAAGAAAACGTAGAGGCCAGTGATGGAGCAGCCACTTCTTCAAACGCAGAGTGCATTTAGTGACCTCTCCTCTGGAGAGAGCCTCTCTAACCATAGCCGTCCTTCTTCCTCCAGTCCTTATTTGGTATTTATTGCTCTGTGCTTGGCCAGATCCTACTATTATGTCAGGAAAATGCCTCTAGCAAGCTGCAGCCTTCTCTATCTTTAAGGAATTTACAACCCAAAACAAGAGACAGGTAAGCAGTTATTGAAGTGTTCCTTCTTGCTAATGTAAATCTCCCCTGCTGTAATATATGCTCTTTCCTTCTCATTCATTTGGATTAAGAGATCTCGGGACCATTAACTCTTACACACAGGAAAACATTTCTCTCTGTAAAAGCCTAGGGAGCAACCAAACAGTGGCCACCCTGAAGATTTAGCTTCTTTCTGTCAGTCTTGGTTGGTGCAGAAAGAAGGGGATAAAAGTGATGAGGATCCAGGATAACATTATAAACCACAAGGAGGCTCTACCCTACTCACCCGTACTCACCTGCTTTCCCAATCTGAACTGCCAGGCGAGTCAGCTTGCCCTGGAGCACTGACTTCTCCTTTTTAGGTACTTTGACTGCCTTCTTTTCCTTTTCCTCATTGTCGGTTCCCTCCTGGCTGTTGAGTGGCTGGATTTCCAGGGCCACTCCGTCCTGGGTCTTTGCTAGAATATACACACAAATAGGACAGGTGAGCAGGAAAGACGGTAGCACTGAGTGACAGGCAGTTGGAAACAAAAAACCCTCCTGTCTCCTTTCCGGAATATGCCTTGGACCCTGACATCAGTTCTGACCACTCCTAACCCATGCTAGACATGGAACTTGCCTTCAATGCTCTATTAAGGCCTTTGGAATAATATCCTAATGACTTTAGATGAAACAGGGGTGCTTTTAGGGTATAGATTTCTTCTTTAGTGGCAGCTTCTTGGCACTACCTCAGAGCCCCAAGCCAGGTTTATTCCAGCAAGGGGATTAATCATGTCACTAAGCACTATTATAACAACCATCCTTCCTGGAACTCAGTGCTTAAAATAGGGAATCTTTACTGCAGAAAGGGGCTGAAGGAGAGGGTTGGCAGATGTTTCTAGAGCACAAGATTGTCTGTTAAATGGTCTCTCTCTCTCTCTCTCTCTCTCTGTCTCTCTCTCTCTCTCAACTGTCAGGGAAGAAATACATACCCCCAGATCCAGAGTATTTTCCAGCTCCTTCTAGCAGTTGAAGGATAGGAAAAGGAAATTCCCTTTCTTCCCTGCCTGACAAAGGTAGAGAGATACAGGGTGGGACCTGGGGTTAAGTCTTTTGGGGGAGAGGGAAGAAGCTGATATGAGGGACCTCCTGGAATAAGAGAAAGCAAGGACAAAGAGACACATATAAATCCATTTTGCTTTTAAAAGAAGAGTTTAAGACCTAAAATTAAAGGATTATTTCTGTTTAGCCCTGGTTTTCCAATGAGATGACTTTATTTCTAAAGACTGCTATGATGTGGGTTACAAAGTAAAAACAAATCTCTAGCAGCATCTCAAGAGAGCAGTTCTTGCTGGCTCCCAGCACCACTCCACCTTCACCCCTGTAGGGCTCAGCCCTTTGCATAGGATGCCCTTCCTGAGTAGTCCCTGCTGTCAGACTGACAAACAAGAAGATGGAGATGGGATGTGAACACAGCCACCAAAAGAAAAACACACATCAGATCAGGAGGAAGAAAACAGACTGTGGCGAGAACAGAGAAGGAGGTGGGGAGAGAGGTACAGAGAAAGGGCTCTCTCCAAGTACCTCTTGGAAGACCAGCGGAGAAAGAATCCAGACCAGAAGAGGACACCGATGAGGAAGCTAGCAAGAGGAGGGTGCAGGGACTGCCCACCCTACTCCCTCCACCATGAGGACCCTGAAGTCTTCCAACCCAGAAACTGATGACTGTTGGTGTTTAAATCAGGCTGAGGGCAATGAAGCAGAGCTCTCCTCCCTGTGAAGAGCAGATTAATCCTACGCACTCCCCAAGAGAAACCGTGACATGAGGTTCTGTGAGCCAACAGCAGAGGGTGCTGTTGTCTCATCTTAGATTGGGATCAGGACCTTGAGGCCACCCCAAAAAATCTCTGCACCTTCCTCAGGGTGAGGCATCTGAGCAGCAGATAACAGACTTATGGAGAGGAAAAGGGAGAAGGCAGATGGCCTGGAAAGGTCTGGTTTGAGCATGGGCAGGTAGAGATGATAAATGAGTGGTTGGAGAGGTTACCTTTGTTGCGATTTTCAGGGACTCCTTGTTTTTTACCTGTTTGAACAAGAAAGAAAACAGTGGGGTCGAAACCCAAAGTGACTATTAAGAGATCCAATTTGTTCGTCCTGCTCAGAGCCCAGAAGGGCGACAGCAAAGGTGTCAGGTTGCAGGGAAGGGACATAAATGTAAAGGAAGCTCACATCTCTGCTTTCATTCATTCTTGCTAGAGGCTCTCATGAATCCTCGTGATATCCACCAAAACGCTCATGTAGGTGAGTGCATACTCACACCTGAGCTGCTTTCTCTTGCTCCTGGCCTGAGTCACATTGCTTGGGAAAATGGGGTGGGGATTAGGAAGTGAGAGGTTTGAACTGTTTCTGCCTGATGGCAAAGACTCTGAAATGTGTCTTCATGTTTCTTCAACAGCACCAGGCAAGCTTCCTCCTTATTCATCTGCAGGTAGCTGCAGAAATGAATTGTTTAGTTCCTGAGAGAACGTGTTTTGTTTCCTTTTCATAAACTGCCCTCCACTAAACAGCTCAAGATGATCCTCCAGCCAAGTAGTAGAAACCTTCTCTCCCCTAAGGGAAGAAGGAATGGTTAGGGAAACGTGTAGACTTGGTTTTAGCCTCTTTTCCTCTTTCTGCCTCTGTTATTCTTTCCTTCAGGAACAACTGCGTGGCAAAGACTGAGCTAACTGTCCCTGTGTCTGTCTTCCACTGAGAGCCCACAGTTTCAGCAGAAACCTATTTTATTCTTCTGGCCAGTTTTCTCTTAGCCTTGATGGTTCGTTTCGCCCCCCGATCTTTGAGGAAGCAAGAAGGAGGGGTACACGGAAGGCATTTGGGGCTACAGCACCTAGCCAGTTCATTTAGAGTAGCTTTATAACTCATCCTTTTACAAGCTACCATTAGACACAAAAATCAAGGCTCAAATTCGCCTGACTTGGGAGCCTAGAGCCAGGATCTGGTTTTCATCAGAGCTCCCTGGAGCCAAGGATTTACATCTTTATCTCGGCAAGCAGTCTGGATATCTGCGTTCTTCATGGCAGCAGACTCTTTCAACTAGGCTTTCTATCCAGATCTGCTCCCTCGCTTCCTTATTTGTCCATGGGGATGAGAGAAAAAGAATCTCATTCCAGATGCCCCTTACCTTTCTTCTTCTTCTCCCCTTCGTCATCCTCATTGACCCCCAAGAGAGTAAGGATGATTCCAGTCTGAGAGTTGATACCCACAGCAGTCACCACCATCCGGCCAGAACCTTCCATGACATGGGTCCCTACATGGGAAAGGAGAAGATGGGAAGGAGTGGGTTTTTAAATACCTAGACATGATTTGGTATGAAACACAGACTTAGAAGAAAAAAGTAGTCCTCCCTACCCCATGGATAATGATGTGCTTAGCACAGTAGGAAAAGGTCAAGAGTTGGGTGCATTTAAACAGACCATGCAAATTGTGAGTAAGGAGGAAACTGTATCTAACTGCTTTAGGGTAGGCTCTCCCACCCACCCCCACTCCCACCCCCGCAACCTGCAGAGCCCCTCCAAGGCCCTTATAACACTTGTTTCCTGGAAAACTTCATTTAGGCTGACTGATATCCTTGTATTCCACCCACCAAAATGCTGTTGCCCCAGCTGAGCCCCAGGGAAGGAAATGGGACATAGCCAGAAGAGAGAGCGGGGTCTGGATCCTGTGGCCTGGCTGTTTGCAGGGGGGTAGATGCAAACTTGGGTAGCTGGGGCCTATACCTGAGAGCAACATGGGGTCTTTCTCCAGGGACTTCTTGACATGGTCGGATTCCCCCGTCAGAGAGCTCTCGTCAATCTTCAGATCATTCCCTTGGATCAGGACCCCATCTGCAGGCAGCAGATCACCTAGAGCACAAAGAGGACATGGGGACGGTGAAGGAGGTAGTAAGAGGAGAGGGACCTGGCTGAGGACAGGGACCTCCAACTCCTTCAACTCCATCTCAGGGCTGCTCCTATGGGACCTACCTAGAGAGCAATGGCCAAGAGTACATGGAGGGTCCTTATAAGACTTCAGCTCTGTACAACCTGGGAGAAGACTGCTTTCCAGGCATTATAAATTCAAACTATTACTCATCCCCAACACCTTTCCATGGCCTGAATATCATACACTTTAACCTTAACACACACAGGGTACAAGCCTGACAATCTTGTGGGAGAGTTTCAGCTAATCCTTTCCGAAATTCCTTCTCCCAGCCTCCTTAAACTCTAACTTAGAAGTGAATACAATTTGGGGTCTTATCTTTTGGAGTTTTCAGCAATTCCCAGCCCCCTCATGCCAAAGGATCTACCCCTTAAATGGGGGTGGTGGGGGGGTAAGTACAAGAAACACAGAGCTCTCACCGTATTTGACTTGGGCAATGTCACCCACCACAATCTCAGCCACAGGAAGCTGGATGAGTTGACCATTTCGAATGATGGAGAACTTTTGCTCCTGTTCAATGCGGCTCTGCAGCCCTCGGAATTGCTTCTCTTTGCTCCAATCATTAAAGGCAGTCACTAACACCACGATGATCACTGAGAAAAGTATGGCTGCCCCCTCAATCCAGCCGGCTTGTGCTTCATTTTCATCTTCTGGGGCAGTTGCGGCTTGACCACACACTATCCCAGGAAGGGAGAGAAGTAGTCACTGAAGGGCTTTTGTTGACATTAAGGAATGGGAGTAGTGCTTCCACAATACCCCCGAGATGGAAAGTCAGAAAAAGAGAATAATAGCAAATACAACTGTTGGCTAGAAGAGGATATCAGAGGATAGCAGGATTGAGTATTGTCTTATCACCAGTGTAACTACTCATTTTAATCCAAAAAGGCAGGTGACTAAATAGTATGAACTGTCAAATTTAGGCAAGTCACATGTAAGGTCACACTTATGATTCCCAACATGGTCAGGCTTTCACTGCTATTTCCCAAAAAGCCAGACAATTGGTGGCGGGGGGGGGGGCACTTTAAGATGCAGGGTTTTGTTGGTTGGATAAGGGTAGAGAATTCCTGGTTGGAAGAATAGCTGAGTAGCTACTGGTTGGTTTCCTTTGGAAAGCCCACTCTGGATAACAGGGGGAATGTTTTAAGCTATAACCTGTCAGTCACCAATACTAAGTGCTTTTTGGTGGTGGAAAAGATTACAGGCTCACACCTGTAATCCCAGAACTCTGGGAGGCCAAGGCGGGCAGATTGCTTGATCCCAGGAGTTTGAGACCAACAGGGGCAACATAGTGAGATCTTGTCTCTATGTTATAAAAATTATTAAATAGGCTGGTTTTATGACATAATAAAATTATTTTGTTATTAATAAATTATTAAATGGCTCACACCTGTAACTCCAGCACTTAGGAGGCCGAGGCAGGTGGATCACCGGAGGTTAGGAGTTGGACACCAGCCTGGCCAACATGGTGAGGCCCTGTCTCTACTAAAAATATAAAAATTAGCCAGACGCGATGGCACCTGTAATCACAGCTACTCAGGAGGCTGAGGCATGAAAATCACGTGAACTCAGGAGGTTGCAGTAAGCCCAGGTCAAGCTGCTGCGCTCAGCCTGGGTGACAGAGCAAGAATCCATTTAAAAATAATGAATGAATGAATAAATAAATAAATAAATAAAATTTCTTAAAAGGGTAGAAGATTCCTGACATTCTGAAAAAGGATTTAATGGGAGAAAGTGGGTGGGGAGTGGGGTGGGGAGGAACCCTTGGAATAAGGATGAGTCGGAAGAATAGCTTAGTAGCTGCTGGTTGGTTTCCTTCGGAAAGGCCACTCTGGATAATAGGGGGAATGTTTTAAGCTATAACCTGTCAGCCACATAAGCTGTTTTAAGTGCTTTTTGGTGGTGGTGGAAAGAACGCAGAATCAGAGTCACGCTGAGCTGCTTAGGACACTCACGTTCATTTTCGTCACCAGCTGGGCGATAAAAGGACAGGACCAGGGAGATGATGGCTGCAATCTCCAGGATGATGAGTGTGACATCTTGAAGGGCTTCCCACACTAATTCTAAGAAGGTCTTGGGTTTTTTGGGAGGGATCACGTTGTGTCCAAACACCTGCCTGCGTTTCTCCAGATCCGCAGGGTTCCCAGATAGACCTGAAAAAGAGATAGGAGTGGATGAATACATGTAGAATAAATGGAAAATGATAAAAGGCAGTACTGAAGTGGCAGTGAGCCGTTACGCTCTAGCCTGCGCAACAGAGAGAGACACTGTCTCAAAAATAAATAAAATAAATAAAAAGGCCAGGCATGGTGGCTCACGCCTGTAATTCTAGCACTTTGGGAGGCCAAGGTGGGTAGATCACTTAAATTTAGGAGTTTGAGACCAGCCTGAGCAACATGGTGAAACCTCGTCTCCACAGAAGAGACAAAAATTAGCCAGGCATGGTGTTGTGTACCTGTAGTCACAGCTACTCAGGGGGCTGAGGTGGGAGGATTGTTTTGAGCTCAGGAGTTTGAGGCTGCAGTGAGCCGTGATCATGTCACTGCACTCCAGCCTGGGCAACAAAGTAAGACCTTATCTCAAAAATTAAATAATTAAATAAATAAATAGATAAAAAAGATCCCCTGCTTCCCGATTCACCCAAGTATGAGATCCAGTTAGAGACAACCAATCTGCCCAGGGCTCAGAGAAGGTGGAACTTTCAGTCTAAAAATGGACAAAATGAAACTAGTCAGCCATGGGACCACTCACTTATCTTAATAACAAGTATAAGATGGATAAATTCTTAACCAGACATAAAATCTTATCTGCTACTGATTGAGTATGCTCCAGGCTCCAGCTCTGAGAACATAAATATTAAAGTGGTTCTTGGGATTCACATAGAACTTTTATGTCACATTAACAGGTAAATGCTGTGGTGATTTAAATGCAGAGTGAGCTGCCATCCATTGGCTCACACACAAAGTCCAGGAAGAACAAGCTCCTTGCTCAAGGTCATGCAAGATGGAGACAGAGCATCATCGCATCATCACACGTGTCCTGATTCCAAGATCCAGGAGCTTTAGGAGAGCATCAGAACAGCGTCTTTGAGACTATATCTTGTGGGCATCCCCTTTAAGCACATGTGCCCCTCCCATTCGGTCACACACATATACACACCTGTGTGCGTATGCGCATGTGCATGTACACAAACATACACAGAGGCACAAACACACACCACTGAGAGGTACTACCATTCTACTAAGGACTAAGTAATTACTAAGAGAAGTATTAGAAGTATTACTACCCAGGTTGAATATAAAGAGAACAAGAGGACTGGCATGGTGGCTCACGCCTGTAATCCCAGCACTTTGGGAGGCCAAGATGGGTGTATCATGAGGTCAGGAGTTTCAGACCAGCCTGGCCAACATAGTGAAACCCCATCTCTATTAAAAATACAAAAAACATAGCTGGGCGTGGTGGCGGATGCCTGTAATCCCAGCTACTTGGGAGGCTGAGGCAGGAGAATGGCTTGAACCCGGGAGGTGGAGGTTGCAGTGAGCCGAGGTTGTGCCACTGATTTCCAGCCCGGGCAACAGTGCAAGACTTCGTCTCAAAAAAAAAAACAAAACAGAGAGAGAGAATAAGAAAGGTGAGGCCACAAAGTTTTCAGATACTACACAGTACTTGGTTACCAGCATTGTCCCACCAACATATGTATGCTTACATACCTTACATATGTGTGTACATATACCTCGTACCACACACACCACATCCACACAGACACATACACACCACACACTTGGGAGGCTGAGGCAGGAGAATGGCCACACACCACATCCACCACCCACACCACACACCACATACACAATATACAGACACATACACACCAAACACAAACCACATGCACAATACATACCACACAGATACACGACACACACACACACACACAGACCACATGCCACATACATACCACACATAACACAGACACCAAACATACACACACACATACTCTCCAGGCACTATCCCAGAGGGACAAGAGGTAGGCAGAATTATGCTCAGTGCTTTCCTTATATTTGGGTCCTTTCACAGGTTCCCAGGGGGGCTACTCTTTAAGGGAAGAGGGGAAATCCTACCGTGGTGATTAATGCCAGTTGGTATTTATCAAGTTGTTTACACGCTGAAGCAAATTAGTCCTGGTTTTGGCACTGGAAGCTGTGGCTGCCTGTTTGAAGGGTTTCCCACAGGCAGGGTGGGGTGACTTTTGTCTTGAAAAAGGTTAGCAGCTGAGGAAGGTCAGAATCAGAGGAAGGGAAATTCAACCAAGCTTCACAGAGAGAATAAGGAGAAGTGGATGACGGGGCTGCAGGGACAAAATGGAGGCAAAGGACTCGGATGCCAGAGACCTTCTTTACGCTTTAGTCAATGTGAAGGCTATTCTGCTGCTGAGGAAGGCATGCAGACATGGTATGAGGGCAAATGTCTATTCTCCATCTTCACTGAACACAGCCCAGGAGTGGGCCGGGTGCGGTGGCTCACGCCTGCAATCCCAACACTGTGGGAGGCTGAGGTGGGCAGGTCACCCGAGGTCAGGAGTTTGAGACCAGCCTGGCCAACATGGTGAAACCCTGCCTCTATTAAAAATACAAAAATTAGCCAGGCGTGGTGACACGTGCCTGCAATCCCAGCTACTTGGGAGGCAGAGGCAGGAGAATTGTTTGAATCTGGGAGGAAGAGGTTTCAGTGAGCCGAGATGGCACCACTACACTCCAGCCTGGGCGACACAAAGAGACTCTGTCTCAAAAAAAAAAAAGAACCCAGGAGTGTTACCTTAAGTGTCAGAGGAGAGAGATTTGGGTTAGGACCTGAGAAAGACATCTGGACAGATAAAGATTTTGAAAATGGGAAAATAGGTACCCAAGGGAGTATTATTTGCAGAGTTTGAGATGATCTCAATTTCCCTATCCTATACAACAAAAAGCATCAGGAGACATACTCAAGATACTCATCTGTCTGGAAAGGCAGATATGGGGAGCAGGAGATGAAAGTGGGGAGAATGAGCTGGCATTCACACCTGTGAGTCAGGGGTGTGAGGGACCTCTTTTTTTTTTTTTTTTTGAGACAGAGTTTTGCTCTTGTCGTCCAGGCTGGAGTGCAATAGCACCATCTCAGCTCACTGCAACCTCCGCCTCCCAGGTTCAAGCCATTCTCCTGCCTCAGCCTCCCAAGTAGCTGGGATTACAGGCATGCACCAACACGCCTGGCTAATTTTTGTATTTTTAGTAGGGATGGGGTTTCTCCATGTTGGTCAAGCTGGTCTTGAACTCCTGACCTCAAGTGATCCACCTGACTCAGCCTCCCAAAGTGCTGGGATTACAGGTGTGAGCCACTGTGCCTGGCTGAGGGCCCTCTTTTGAGACCACATTCACTTGCTAGTGCTTATGAAAGAGACACAGGAGCTGATTAGGGAAGCAATGCCTGATAAGCAGTGCCTTATCCAGGGTCTCCTGACTCCCAGTGCCCAAGTACATTACCCTGGCTTCCAGCTCAGTGGCACAGCTGAGCACCGCAGAGCTGTACGATTTGGCCAAATCTCTAGAAGCAAGTTGGGTTGCTCCCCAGAGGCTCCCTACCTCCACCAGCCTGAGAAGTCAGGTTCTCAGTAGGAGGGAAAGCCAGGGCCTGGGAAAGGAGTGTTCCGGGCAGGGCATCTTTAGTCCCAGACAGGCAGAGGCAGACTTGCCAGGGGGCAGGGACTTGCTGGTCCTTTCTCCCCAGGGAACAGAGATGGCAAGGTTGTGCCAAGTTGGGACTGCTGTGCTGGAGAGCCAGGATTGCTGAAGGGAAGCAGGAGTGCTAGTAATTTGTTAATCTACCTGGGATGCTTCTCGAAGAAGCAGTATAAAGGGAGGAAATATAAAGGGAGGAAATGCCCTTTCCTCCTTTTCAAGGTTTGGTAGATGATTATGAGGGCAACCCAGGGTATCAGATATTAAAGATCATAAGGTGTACCCCAATAGCCTAATGAAACCCTCCCTCCCAAAAACAGGGACATATGAGGGGCAGAGAGCAGGGCTACCTGTCCCTCTGTGCCCTCATGCTAATACCCCATAATCATCTTTGATGTCTAGCCCTACATCTCCTATATCATGCAATCAAGAAAGCCTATCAGCTGTACCTTCAAAATATATCTAAAGTCCAATCGCTTTCCATTTTCACCGTTATCATCCTGGTTTAAACCATCATCTCTCATCTGGATTATAGCAATCATCTAACTGGTCTCCTTGCCTCCACCCTCACTCTGCTGTTTTCAGTCTCTTCTCAATGTATTAGCCAGAATTATCTTTTTTAAGATCCAAGGCAGTCTATGTGATTCATCTGCTCAAAACCTTCTGGCTTTTACTTAGAGTCAAACTAGGTATCAAGGACTTAATAATGGGCTTCCAGGCCCCTGATGACTCCCCTAGTCCCCCAGTCCTTATCTCCTGCTAGTTTCTCCTGTTCACTGCGATCCGGCCCAGCCAGCCTTCTTGCTGTTCCCTGAACACACTAGACATGCATCACTTCAGGGCCTCTGCACAAGCTGTTGCCTCTGCCCAGATTCCTCCTTGCTGGGGAGGACTTGTTTCCTCACCTCCTTCAGGTCTTTGTACAAATGTCTCCCTTTTAGTGAGGCCTACCCTGACCACTGTATTTACCCGGCACTCTTGATCCCGCTCATCCTGCTCAATCATTTCCCTCCACAGGTCTTCTCACCTAGCACATAATAGGATGCATTCAGCTCCTCCACAAGGGCAGGATTTTTGTCTTTGTTCCTCAGGCCTACAGCACTGCCCAGCACATTGTACACATGCAGATTTGCTGAATGAACTGAATGAATGAGTGAGAACTAAGATTGCTAACATTTAAGTGATTACTATGTGCCAGATGCTTCACCAGGCACATTCATGCCTTCTCATTCAAGCATCACAAACCCCTACATGGTAGCTACTATTAGCCCGATTGGACATAGAAGTACACGAAGGCCCGGCAAGAGTATGACTACTTGAGCTTAGTAAGTGGCAGAGTCTATGCCACCCCGCGGGGGACTGCTGGATGCCAACCTAGATATCGAGGACACTGGGCATGGAGGCAGCTGCACTCAGCTGAAGCTTCAGTCTAGTGTGGCCACCTT